ATCTGTTGGACTCCCATGCCCAACAGTAGCTATGGACAATGGGTGTTGTAGTCTAACACCATCGGGAGGGCCTCAACACTGACCTAGAAGAATCTGATCAGTTAGAAGCAGGTTCAGGACAGAATATTCAGGATGAGGATGGAACCAGATTAGAATCTCTAGGGTAAGGAGCAGAAACAGGCCACAATCAGAGGGTTAAGGGTTGTGGTTGGCACCTGGGCAAAGATGGCTGCTTTTGAGATCCCAGTACTGGTGGGAAAACACTAGTCCCAAGAGGGGCAAGCTAAACTCCAATGGGTTGGCAAACCTACGTATGTCATTGGGCTCCCGCAGCCTTGAGAGGATGTCCGTCTTAAAAGGAAACCCACCCTGTCATTTCCACTAATTTTAGGGAAATCCAAATGGCATTCCGTTTGTTCTAAAAACAAAAGAGGGGACTGCACACAGGGTCCGCCTCATGGCTGTGTGTTGCAAGAACTTAGGTGACCAGGGTGGTTTGGTTTTTTATTCCTCTCCTTTCTATCTCTCTCTCTCTCTCGTTCTTTCTTTCTTTCTCTCTTCCTCTCTCTCAATCTCTCTTGCATTTTTTGTCAATCTAATGATTCACTTATATTGCCCAACTTTTCCCTTCTCTTCATACCTTACCTACTAAAGGAGGAAATACCACTTTCTTGGTAAGTGGACGTTAACCAGGACGGACTTAAAAAAAAAAAAGTGGAAATTTAACAAAAATAAATAAATAACATAAAATAAAAAAGGAAAGAGAATAGAACGCTGGTGGAGACTCTGCACAAATTTTCAAAACCCAGGAAGAGTTCAGAAACTTTTTTTTAATATCCTTTTTTTTTTCAGTACTGATGACATTTGTGGAGTTTTCTTTTGGTTTAAGATTTTATTTTCTCCATCCCCAACCCAGCCCCTGTTCCAATCCCCATCACCTACACATAGCTCTCTCTTCTCTTCTACATGCCTTGATCAAGCTCCCCACAAAGAAATCCATTTCTATCCAAACCCCACCCCACCCGATCCCTGGCTTCTTATCCTTTCCCCCCACCATCCCATAATGTACCCCCTCTTCCACCGATATGAGCACCCTCCCTTTTCTTTCTCTCTTTCTCTCTCTTTGTTTTTTTCCAACAAAATATAATTTTGGGGTCTTCTTTCTTTTCTTTTAAAAGAACACACACATACACACACACATGCACATATTATATACTTTTCATTTTTCCAAGGTGACCCTCTCCCTCCCACCCCGTTTGAAACTCTCCGCCTCCCCTTCCCTGTTTCATTTTTTCATTTTGGTTTATTTCCTGTTTTTGCATGCCAGAGATTTTGCATGAGCTGCATCGTTTAAGGTCGAGAGGTTGAACAGGGGAGAGAGGTGCAGAGTAGTATCTGTGTAGCCTGCCTTTATTCAAATCATTGTGCATCGCTGTCGTGAAATTGCAGCTTTTTCCTGCTGGTGAGGGGTCTCTCTTTGTTGTTTTAAAAAAACCCTCTCCTTTCCTTCTTTCTCTCTTTTCGCCCCACCCTCCCTCTCTCTGTATCTCTCCCCGTCCCTCCGCGTCTTTCATTCTGCTAGAGGCTGGATTCCACGTCTCCTTCCACGAGGGCCCATGTCAAGTCCGAAGCCCCGTCGCCCCACTCCAAGGAAGCCCGGTGCAGCAAATATGGCGTCAAGGCCTCACGCCGGTCCGCCTCACCTCCGGGGAGATGCTCGGGTGGAGATAAGCGCTTCCACAGGCGCCATGCGAGGTCCACGTCGACCCACAAGCACAAAGGGCGTGGCAGGGCCAACCTCTCAGCCGCCAAGGAGTCCCCGCGATCTGTCAGCCACACAGGCTACAGCAGTGACTCAGAGGGGTCCACCTGCTCGCACCCTTACCACACCGTGGCCGGGACAGAAAAGAACCATGGGGTGCACCTAAAAACGTAAGAACCAGAATGGGGTGCATGCTTGGGAGTGGCCCATATGCCATACCCTCCAACAGGACCCAAGTTTGGTCCAATGCGCAGAAAAACAACCTGCTGCTGTGCCGTTCTTTAGTCGTTTAGTCGTGTCCAACTCTTCGTGACCCCATGGACCAGAGCACGCCAGGCACTCCTGTCTTCCACTGCCTCCCGCAGTTTGGTCAAACTCATGCTGGTAGCTTCGAGAACACTGTCCAACCATCTCATCCTCTGTCGTCCCCTTCTCCTTGTGACCTCCATCTTTCCCAACATCAGGGTCTTTTCCAGGGACTCTTCTCTTCTCATGAGGTGGCCAAAGTATTAGAGTCTTAGCTTCAGGATCTGTCCTTCCAGTGAGCATTCAGGGCTGATTTCCTTAAGAATGGAGAGATTTGATTTTCTTGCAGTCCATGGGACTCTCAAGAGTCTCCTCCAGCACCATAATTCAAAAGCATCAATTCTTCAGCAGTCAGCCTTCTTTATGGTCCAGCTCTCACTTCCATGATCCAGCTCTCACTTCCATACATCACTACTGGGAAAACCATAGCTTTAACTATACGGACCTTTGTTGGCAGGGTGAAATCAAATCCCCCCAAATTAACCATTGTCTGAACCTGACACCCACACCAAATGCCCCCCTCTGTTGCTTCCCCCTCTGCGCTCTGATTGGCCCTGCTAATCTCCGCCCACTGCATGTTTCAGAGCAAAGGAGAGGCACCACCGCGGTAGGCTGGGCAGTTGCTCTCCAGCCCCAGCCAAACACTCCAGGCACAAGTCGGAGCGAAGGAAGAGCCTGTCTCGGAGCAGCTCCTGGAGCTCCAGCCGGTCCCCGTCGAAATCTCGGTCCCGATCCCGGGAGAAGAGATCTGCACGCAGCAGGACTCGGTCTGGATCCCAGAAAAAAATAACAAGCAGCAGGTAAGGTGCTTGTAATCCCCAGTTCTTACACTGGGGGCAGTGGCAGCACGGAAGACGATGACTTAGACCCCGGATCATGGTGGTGGGACACTGGAAAGCAGCCCGGGTAAGGGACAAGGTGGGAGGTGCTAGAAGCAGGGGGTTTGAACGATCAAGGGAGGAGGTCACTAGAAAGAGGCCCTTCCAGGACAGGGCTGGAGGCTGAGAGTTGCAGTGTGAGAGAAGACTCAGATAGAGAGGAGTCAGTGATTGCCCCTGCTACACAGCACCAGGGAAGTCCCGGTACTGCTGGCTTTCCTCCTGCTCTGACACCCTGATCAAGGAGAGTCCTGCACGATGCTAAGCACTGGGCCAGACAGACCCAGAGGAGGAGCCCACCATTTCTGCAGCCTTTGTCTGCTAGGGAGGGATCCAGAGTGATAGGCTAGAGGGGAAGGGCAGGGCCTGTGGTCAGTTTCAGCACCGTCCCAAGCTGAATGAGTCAAGCCACAGTAATTCTGCTGTGATGTTACTTTCTGTGAATAAAAACTAATTGCATTTCGTGCCTCACATTCTTCCTGCCCTGTGGATGACCTGTGCTTGCCTGACAGCTCCTTGACACACTGCCACTGCCCTGGGTCTAAGTCTTCTTTCTCTCTGTCATCCCTGGGGGGTTCTTGGGCTGGTGCCTCCCACCACTCTTTGCCACCCAGCCATTCCCTGACACAGAGTGACCCTAGGAGCCCGTCCCCAGTGACTGACCCTAGGAGCCCGTCCTTTCACCCTGATTGGCTCCAACCAGCACAAAGTGTCTTGATCCCACCCCCTTGCCCCAAGACCCTGGAGAACTATACTATGAAGGTTGAGCTAGATGGATTAATGGTTTGATTCCATATAAGGCAGATTCCTATGTCCCTCAGTGTTTGCAAGATGGGGGTTTGCTGCCTTTCAATCCCAGGGGCCGGTGTCGCAAGCCATCATTGTCTTCCGATGCCTGAAGGAGGCGCTGCAGCTGGTTCACACAGCCAACTGTAGTTCCCAAGACCCAGATTCCCAGTTGTGCTTCAGAGACTCTCATAATGTGTGTGGAAATGAGGCCACAGGGCTGCTGTGGTGGTTGTTGTTGTTTTCATCCAGAGAGAAGGACAACGAGCCGCGTGCCCGCCACAGTGACACAGAACCCACGCGTGCCCGGCGTCGCTCCCGGAGCTACTCCCCCATCCGAAAGAGAAGGCGTGACTCCCCAAGCTTCATGGAGCCCAGAAGAATCACCAGGTAAAAACTTCGCCAAAGTGGTTCACTCATTGGTGCGCTCGATACGTATTGGATTATCGCAATGTGCTCTTTGTGGAGCTGCCCAGGCACTCGATCCAAAAGCTGCAGCTAGTACAGAATGCTATGGCATGATTGCTGGTATAAGCAAAACCCATTGGGTTCAAGGTTCAAAATCATTTTCCCTGGAACCTCAGCCCCTTTCTGCACCCTTTTACATTTAAATGCTTGTAAAGCTGAATGCACACAAGTTAAATGCGCATAAGTTGCAGACTTACTGTTTAAAGTTTAGGCATTGTTCTGTTTCTACAGGTAATGCCTCCACCTATGGTTTAGAACAGGATTTTTAAAAAATATTATTATCGTCATTTTGAAGGATCTAAACTAAACCTCTGAGTTCTGTTGACTTCAGTTTTAACTGAATTTAACTGTTGTTTTATTTTACAGAAATTCCACTGCTGCCTTGTTAATTTTAGTTGTTTTTAGTTTATTTAGTGTGGTTCTCCCTCTCTCTCTTTCTGTCTCTCTCTCTTTCTCTTTCTCTTTCTCTCTCTCACTCTCTCTCTCACACACACACACACACAAAATACTCTGCCCAGCCATGTCCTAGAACAGTATCCCCAACCTGAGGCCCTCCAGATGTTTTGGCCTACAACTCCCATGATCCCTAGCTAACAGGACCAGTGGTCAGGATGATGGGAATTGTAGTCCAAAACATCTGGAGAGCCAAAGGTTGGGGATGCCTGTCCTAGAACATCTTCATTATATGCAGAAGCTGCCACCTTGTTTATCGAGTGGCCTCGTTTCGCTTCCGAAATGATTGGCCCTCAGCCGCCTCAGTCCACTGCTAGAGGGGCTGATGGTCATGTCTCCTCACTCCGATGAGGAACACCAGCCAAATCTCTAAGGCTCACAAAGGAAGCCATATATGTAAGCTTCTCCTCGTATCTCCTGTGTCTTTGGGCTTCTCTGTCCGCTTCCTCCGCCTGCCTATTCCTCCTCCTCCTCCGTTAATGATGCAAATTTCTCCCTTTTCCCATCCCGTCTCAAGGTTCCTCCTGGAGAAACATCAAGCAGAAGCCTCTAGCTGCAGGGCCGGGTTACCATGGTAACCTTGCCTCCCATCAGGACCCCGCTGTGCATCTCCTTGAATCCGCCACTCTGTGAGGCCTTGTGGAACTAAACTGCGTCTCTCTTGTCGCGTCTGTCTCTCTCCCTCTCTGTCAGTCTCACTAACAAGGAAGATAATAAATTGGAGGCTGGGTGGGTGTGTTTGGTGGGTCAACGGTGAGGCCGGTGACTCTTGAAAGGGGGACAGGTGCCTCAGAGATGGCTGAGCAAGCCAATTCCTCCCCATTCCCTCCAAAATATTTATCATGCACCTCCCTAAATACTTCCCTTCTCTTCCCTTCTCCACAACAGCTTCAGGCCAGCCTCACACCATCCATTTAAAACATCGCAATACTTCTTTAGATAGCCATGGCTTCCCCCAAAGCATTCTGGGAGCTGTAGTTTACTAAAGGTGTGGAGAATTGATAAGGAGACTCCGGTTTCCCTCACAGAACTGCAATTCCTAGATGGGTTTCATAAGTCATTCCCTCTTTGCAGGGAACTCTAAGGATTATAGCTCTGGGAGGGGAATAGGAGGGTCTCCTTGACATACTGCAGCTCCCCAAATCCTAATCTTCTGCCCCTCAGAAAGGGCTCTCAGAGCTGCTCACAAACACTTGAATCGAGGCCGTCGCTGCCCACAGGCTTATAGCCTAAAAGGCACGACACAAGAGGAAGAAGGGACAGGGAGGGAAGAGGAAGCATAAACTGGCCCACCATCACAGCTAGGTCACTTAAACAGCAATAAACATAATGTCTGAAATGGTTGGCTGGGGGTGCATTGGTATGGAGGTGGTTGGTTTTTGGACTTTGGCAAGAAATTAGCTATTGATGGGGTGTGTGGGCTGCCTCGGGCAAAGTGTGCCCTCCAACTAACACCTAATCTCTGTTTTCCTGCAGCTTTAATTCTCCAGCGTCTGGAGCAAAAACACGCAAGCGCTGTTAACCCTTTCATGCTCGGTTGTTTTAGCTGGCTAATCCAGGACTAACGACTGGAGAGGCAACAGCTTTGGCACTGAGGGCTCCAGGTTTGGAGGGAGGTGCTTGGGGTGAGCCAGAATAACAAGTTTATTATTTTTACTCCATCCATCTGGCTGGGTTGCCCAAGCTTGTACCCATGAACTTGGGTCATGTTTGCAAAATTCCAAATTGACGACATTCCCTTCTGTCCATGTGGAGCGAAAACCAAGATTGAACTGAAAATTTTGAATTTTCGATTGTTCTGTTTTGAACTGAAAATGTCAAACTTATGCAAGGAGGCGAGGCTGCTGGGAAGAATTTTGTTTGGGAGTGACTGTGTTCCTCAGGGCTCATTTAAATAACAATAAAAAAGCAAGCCCAAAAGCTGAGATTTCAGCTGCAATAGATTAGCTATGGGGTGTGGTTTTTTTAGTACATTTGGCCCCAGGTCTTCAGTCAAAAAGGTTCCTTGAACATATTACATACAACCAATGAAAACAAGACAGTCAGTGCCTGTCGGCTTATAATCTGAAAAGGACACAGCACAAAAGGAAAGCAGGACAGAGACAGAAGAGGGGGAAAGCAAGATTCTTAAATTAACCAGTATAATGTACTACTTTTTTGTGGGAAATACCTTGTACAAAGAAATTGACCGTGGCTCTGACCCTCCAGATATTGTTGGGCTCCAACTTCCATCATCCCTGACCACCGGCTCTACTGGCTGGGACTGATGGGAGTTGTGATCCAGCAAACAATTGGAGGGCCACAGGCTTCCCAACCTCTCCTCTGAAAGTGTATTTATTATGAGATCCCTGACTGGTTGAGGCATGTCTAGTACAGGGGTAGGGGCACCTGTTGACCCTACAGATGTTGCTGGACTACAAAGCCTATCATCCTTTATCATTGTCTGTGCTGGCTGGGGCTGATGGGAGCTGGAGTCCAGCCACATCTGGAGCGCCACATGTTTTCCCGCTCCTGATATTGAGCATACATCCCTTCTGTCCTTTAAGCATAGAATTTAGGTTGGGTTGGACCAGATGATCTTTGAGGACCCCTTCCAACTCTACTTCTACAGTCATAGATCTGTAGCATTGGAAGGGACCCCGAGGGTCATCTAGTCCAACCCTCAGCAATGCAGGAATCTTTCACCCAACGCAGGGTTCAAACCCATGACCCCGAGATTAAGAGTCTCACGCTCTACCAACTGAGCTATCCCAGCAGTGTTCAATGTTCTACGATTCTATCGTCATCCTTCCTTGCAAACTTGGTTTTCACTCTGCTCTGTATTTGAAAGAAAAAAGGAAACAGGTGTTTCTTGGCCCTCAGTGCCGAAGCCACTGCCCTCTTCCTAATCAAATCCAGTTCTGACCGCTCTGCTTCTGCCTAAAGGCACTAAAAATGTCCTTCTTCTCTTCCAGTGCCCGCAAGCGCCCGATCCCCTACTACCGGCCCAGCCCGTCCTCTTCCAGCTCCCTGACGAGCTACTCCTACAGCCGCAGCCGCAGCCGCAGCTACGACAGCTACAGCAGCAGCCGCAGCCGGACTCGCACCCAGAGCCGCAGCCCAAGCTACAACAGCCGGAGCAGTTCTGAGAGCGCTGGGTTTTGAGGGCCATCTGCCCGGTTGCCAGAGTGAGCTGGCCCTGCCCAGCTGCCCTCCCCACCCGCCCACCCCTCCAAGGCATGCCCAGTTTTAATTCCTCAACCAGTGCCAGCCTCCGCTCCTTCTTCCTTCCTCGTGACTCTGGAGTTGCTGGGTGCGTCCAGCCAGCGAGGAGCTGGGAGCTGGCCCAGCCATTAACCGGGGAGTCAGGAAATCTTGTCGGTGGGGGAGAGAACTGCCGAGTCACCTGTTAGAACACAGCATCATGGGGGAGGAGGCCAGACACTCGCTGGAAGTTCGGGGTTGCAAAAGGATCGAGGTTTTGTGGGCAAGGACCCCAGTCGTCTGGCTGCTCACATGGACAAGAGGCCTGATGGTGGATTCCATTTTGCTTTGTTGTTGTTTTTTTTAAAAAAAGCTAGTTTCTACTGACAAAAGGGTAGGGAGGGTCTCCCGGGGAATAACGCCTCCAGGGTTCAGGATCACGCACAGAGCATATGAACAAACACCAAAACCCACCACTGAACTTTGGGCTCTAGAACATAGGAGTCCTCGCTATTTGATCGCACCCAGCCTCGAACAAACAGCTCACAGAAGATTCTTCCTCGAGGGGAGTTTGAGGGTTGTTGTTGTTGTCCACCCCCTAATTTATTTGTAGTGTTTATTTATTTTGACTCCAGCAGCCTGGAGAGGTTAATGTTTAATTTATTTTAGGAGGCAGAAAGGAGATGGGTGGGTGGCAGGGGAGCACAACTTTGTTAATTTCCAGACGGAGAAATTCCAAAAGAAAGCTTACTTGGGAGTTTGGAGGGTTGTGTAAAACCCAGGAAATGGATGGAGATGGAAGGAAGGAAGGAAGGCAGATAGAAGCTGATCACTTCCAAAAAGTTGCAAAGATGACTACTGGATTGACTTCTTCAGAGCAGAACTAATCTGCGTCCCAGGAAAGGACCTCAACTCAACGCTAGAACCCAGCTCACAGGATTGGTGTTTAGAAGTTTGCAGGTACAAACAGCATTTGTCACCAATGAAGACACACACAGAGAGCACTTCCTGGTGGATGCAAGACCTAGGGAAGGCCCCAGAATCAACCCCTGCCTGGCAACATGTCCATCTGGTTCCACGGCAGGTGATAGCAAAGCCCCATCTCTGCGTGAGACCCTGGAGAGCAGCTGTTGTTCAACTTTGATGCTTCTGGGCTTGATGGACAACCAGTCGATAAGGCAAGAGGGACACCTGATGGGGCTCAAATGCCGTGGGCTGGTTTGCCAAGTTGGCCGGACCATCAGCCTGACTCGGTCTAAGGCAGCACTTTCATATAAACGTACATCTATGTGCCCCAGGCTGTATGGAAGCTTGCAGAGAGAGCGAGGCGCTTCCAGCCCCCGGCTTTGCAGGATGACCTCTGACGTATCTTAGCACAAAGGGGTATTTTGCTTTCTGCAAGAGAGCAAAGGTCAGCCAGGCGAGGGTCACGTCACTTAGCGCCCTTTCTGTATAATCAGATAGCACAACCGGATCAGTTTCCCTTGCATATATGAGGTGGGGGGAAAATAAATAGAGCAAGTTCAGGGACACCACCTGATCAGACCTTTGCCTCAAACCAAGGGAGAGAGAAAGAGAGAGAGGAAGTTGTGAATCAGATCCCCCTTGGCAAGCCCATGAAACCTCCAAAAATCAGTCTGAGTGTCCAAATCTCCTTCTATCAGATGTCAAATGTAAAGATGTAAAACTCACAAAGGACTAGCATCCTGGCATGGCCTGTGCTAGAAGGGCAGAAAATGCACTGGGTAAGGAGGAGCATCGCCCATTGGACATCATTCTCCAATTAGCGTAGCATGAACAAAACAGAGAAGCCACAACACCTTTGGAAGAAAACTTCCTAGTTCTGCAGAGGTGCCTCCCACATATTATTTAAGCCCCACCATTCAAATTCAGATGCTGTAAACACCCTCCCGATTCTTTGGATTGAGCCTCCAGACCTGAATTCTGTGGTTTGTTGGCCATATGTGAAAAACTGGATTCAGAAGAAGCAGTGCGTTGGATCTCTGTGTGGCTGTGTTGCAGGTGGGGCAGAGAAGGAGGGAAAGAGAAAGAGAGAGAGGAATGAAGGACAATTCTTTTTAGGGACATCTGACATTGGGACCACACAGTTCTTCCAGTGACACGTTTAAACTATGGAGATTCACAGTCCATGACTTACTTGGCAAATTTGGATTTGGGAGGCTTTTGAAGCAAAATGACACCTGCCTGTTGCTGAGTTGTGATTGTGGATCCAGATATTACGATCTTTATTTAACACTTATAAAGCACCTAATGTTTTCTAAGCACTGTCATATATTAAAAGCTGAGAGAGTCCCTGCCTGTGGTCTTGCAGCAGAATGGACACAACACAAAAGGAAAAAAGGGATGGGGAGGGAAGAGGAAAGCAAGCTGCTCCTTACTAGCTGAGAGATGGGGCCAAGATGCCCTCCCCCTGACCGTGAGGTTCTTCCTGGGAGGTGCAGGCCCCTCACTCCCCATCCTGGCAGCAGAGACCATAGTATGCCTCCCTTCAGCTCCACAATCCCAGGCAGCTGGCAATTGGACGTGACAATCAAGAACTCTTGGAGGTCTTTGGAGCAAGAGCTGCCAGAGTGAACTCTAGTCTAGATCTAGGCAATAGGTCCTACTACACTGATCAAGGAAGGAGGGAAGACTAGGCTTCTAATTTAGTCAGCCCAAAGGTTATACTGTTGGACCCTGGTATTGCAGAAGAAACCCCTAACCTATATCCAGCTGTTGGTTATTGTTTTTTTACATCCCTACCAGTCGCTGAAAGCTCACACTGGCAGCAGGCAGAGCCAAAGTATCTTCCTCCTATTAGTTCACACCTGAAATACAATCGCCGCCAGGGTGCTGCCTGGGCTCTCCGAAGACGACTGAGCAACAGCAAATACTGGTTCCGTGGGGCTCTCCAAAGATGATGGACAGCTGGGGTAGCTCAGTCAATAGAGCAAGAGACTTATTCTCAGGGTTGTGGGTTCGAGCCCCACACTGGGCAAAAGATTCCTGCATTTCAGGGGGTTGGACCAGATGACCCTCGTGGTCCCTTCCAGTTCTACAGATCTATGACTCAGTGCCAGCAAACGGCGGTTTAGTGGTGCATCAGTCTCCAAAGGTCCCCAAAGGACTGCAGTGTTGAGATACTTTTGGGGTTCCCTTCCAATTCCGAGCAGCAACGAGTGTAGAAAGACGGCGTTATCAGGGAAAAAAATGTCCAGTCTTCCTAGCATCCTTGCATAGTCTCTGCAGCCGTTAGCAAACCAGAACAAACCATTCTCTAGAGGAAAAAAAATTTAATCTCTCTTTCTCTCTTTCTCTGAATTGTGAAGTTGAGCTGTAGATTCAGTGAGCTGGTTCAATGATAATAAAATATACAATATATACATTGTAATGGAATCTTCCTGAAGTAGAGCCTATTTTTGATGGTGGTGCGGAGGGCTAGCTGAGTGGGAGAGCATCTGACTTTGCATGCAAAAGGTCATGGGTTCAATCCCCAATGGCAACTCCAGGGAGGGCAGGCTGGGAATATCCCTTTCCTGAAAACCGGAAGAGTCATTGTCAGTCAGTGCAGCTGGAGGGTGGGCAAGATTTATTTATTTTTTAAGTGCATCAAGGTTATCTGTCAAGGGCCACGTCTCAGTGGCAGAGAGGCCAGAGCTGAAAAGACATGGCTCTGGAGTTGAAGCTGCGTCAATGTGTTTGCAATTGTACATCTTTCCAGATGTTGCCCTTTTCTCAGATTTGCCCATCCCTAGAGAGCTGTGCCAAATTAGGATTCGGTTTGGGTTATTATATTCCCATGTTGCGCTACAAAAGCCTCAAGCAATTTAAAAACCAACGTAAGGACATGATAATAAAAATCACAAAAGCATGCTTGAATACAAAATTGGAAAAGGGTTCATCCTCTTACATAGGCGAATCCTGCTTCCCTGGTCTGGGCAGGCAAAGGAGCCCACAAACCTCTACTCTCTGCCATGGACTTACTCTCTTTATCAGCTCTTAAGGGTGACCCAGTTCATTTCGGATTATGCAGACACCTCTATGTGCAAACATATTTGGGGTCTCACTTTGTCGTAGAACAATGAGGTGGAGCTGTTGTCCATGTAACCTCCCTAAAACAATGTAAGCTAATATTTCTAATGAATACAAGAAGAGCCTGGATCAGGCCAAAGGCCTACCTAGTCCAGCATCCTGTTCTCACCCAGTTGGCCAACTGGAAACCTCCCCCCCCCCCCCCGGATCTGAATGCAATAGCAACTCTTCTCACCCAGCTACGGGTTTTCAGAGGCACGCAGTAGAGGGACAACATAGCCATTGTGGCTCACAGCCATTGAGAGCCTTATGCCTCAGGAAATCTGTCCAATCCTATTTTCTTATCTTTGTGTGTGTGTTTTGTTGATTGATTGATTGATTGATTGATTGATTGATTGTATTTTTATCCCATATTTTTCTCCCAGGACGGGTCTCTCCAGGGTTTTTGTTTTGCTTTGTTTTCAACTGGAACCCACCAGAACTCAGTTCCAGCACCTCTCAGGTGGGCACCCTTGCCTTTATAAGAGAACAAGGGAGGCGTTTGGGGTGAGTTCTGGCACCCCTGTTTCTATAAAAATAGCACTAGGTCTCTCCCTCCTCATGCAGTCCCCACAACTCTGCAAAGTAGGTTATGCTGAGAGGCAGCCCAAAGTCGTCCAGGTCTCTCCCATCCCAGGTCGTAGTCTGACACTCTCACCACTTCCTCACACTGGCTCTCGGTTTTTATCTTATGTAGCAGCTAGGCGAGGGGCGTGAGGTGAAAGGCCCACCCATTTGTTCTACAGACCAGAGCAACTTCATTGGATGTGTAAATTGTGGTACCTAACCAGCCAAAGCCATTCCCTTACCTTAACAAAGGAACGGGTTCCTTACCACAGGATCACAGGCTTGGAACAGACACAGGGCATTATCAAGACTGCACACACAAAAAACCCATAACATTGTATTTTTACGTTCCTGGGGGGAAGGTAGGGGGCTCCATTTGCCGTTTCCCCTTTCCCCATTGTAGCACAAGCATCTGGCCAGCAGGAGGAGCTGGAGGGTAGCTTTTCCCTGGCCTGTCGGACGCCCGGCCAGAAGGAAGGAGGAATGGGAATCTGGAGGGAGTCTTCTGGATGCTTCGCCCTCCCTCTTCCCCTGCGCAATCAGCCCTTCTCATCATGCTCCATTATCCTTGCAGCTGGGGGATCCGGGCACGCAGCACAGCAGATGGGGCCCGTCAATCTCCAGTAATTGAGACAAGAGAGATATTTATTGCCCGGCTGTCTGCTCAGCCCGGCCTTTGGCTCTGCACTGAGCCTGGGATCCTGCAACCAGCACGGGTGGAAGGAACGCACAGCCATGGCCACTTCGTCTTGCTTTTGACCTTGCCGTCCTTTCTGTTGCAGGAGCGCCTATGTCCTCCTCCTCCCCTTAATATTTCACCACTATTGTTATGTATTATACGGTCACAGACCTGCTAAAACAGGGCATGCAGGGAGTAAGATGTGAGCATTAAAACACACACTCAAAATACAGTGTGTTGCAAAGAATCAAACAAGCAAACATTTAAAATGCAATATAATACAAGAGATAAAAAAATATGTAGACTGCAACTAGAATGAATGCAACTAGCATACAACTTGGGAGGCCTTTGAGCAGAGAAAAGGAAATTATTATTATTATTATTATTATTATTATTATTATTAATTATCCCGCTCATTTGACATAGTATAAAAACACAACTAAACACCAAGCATTACTTGTGTTTGTTTGTTTGATTGATTCCCCATTTTTTATCCCAGAAGCTCAAGGTGGCAGACATAGTTTTCCAGCTCCTCATTTAATCCCCTCAACAGCCCTCTAAGGTAGGTTAGGCTGAGAAGGATGAGTGGGGATCTGAACCCTTGACCTCTCAGGCCTTGCTGTTGACTTTCTAACCACCACAACCACACTTAATTTATTTACTCATTTCGAAACCTTTCTTCTCCGTCCCATTTTATCCTCACGACAACCCTGTGAGGTAGGTTGGGCTGAGAGTGAATTAGCAGCGCGTAGTCACCCAGCCAGCTTCAAGACAAACTGGGGGCGGCGGGGAGGGGAGGATTTGAACGCTGGTCTCTCCCAGATCCTAGGCCAGCACTCACAACTCTACACTGGCTCTCTCCAAAGCTCTATACACCAATGAAATACAAAATGAGAAATACATTGTTAAAAATCTAATGAAACAATACAAGTCTATAGTATTCCCTGCCTCCGTGGTCACTCAAGTGAAGTCACACACTTTGCCTTGCTCTGCCATGAATGTGGCCGAAGTGGACTTCTCTCCGGCCAGCCGGGTGAGTGAGAGGGGAAAATGAGCTCTGCTTAGAAAATGCTTCTCTGCTCTCTCTCCGTGTCTTTTTTTGGATGTCAGGTGTCAAGGCCAAAAAATGTTCTGGAGACTCTCAGAACCTCCAGGGGTTATTCTGGCCTGTGGCCAAGGATGACTACAACTTCAGGGTGGGCTGCGGGGTGGGGTGGGCCTCTTCATAATCTTCAAGCAGTTGCTTTCCCTCGCTGACTCATCATCGCCGAGACAGCGAGAAAGAGAAAGATCTTTCTCTCGGTCACCTTCTCCTCACCAGCTGCCTTGATTCTGCCTCGCAGCCATCCCACGACAGTGGTACCTTGGTTCCTGAACTGCTTAGTTGTCAAACAAATCGGCTCCCAAATGCCGCAAACCTGGAAGTCAATGTTCTGGTTTGCGAACGTTTTTTGAACATCCAATGTGGCTTCCGCTTGAGTGCAGGAAGCTCCTGCAGCCAATCGGAAGCTACGCCTTGGTTTTCGAACCAAGGTACCACTGTGCTCAAATGCACTCCCACCTTCCCTGGCTATTCATCAGGCTGGCTGGGAATGATGGGAGTTGGAGTCTGCAATTCCTGGAAGGCAAGTGGCAAGGCCTTGATGGGAAGGTACAAAATGATGGAGAATGTGGATTGGGTTTTTTTTCTCCCTCTCTCCTTTCACTCCAACTGGTAGAGATCTGATGAAGCCGAATGTTGGGAAATTCAGGACAGATAAAAGAAAGGGCTTCTTTAAACTGCTTCCGGTCAGTGTGAACAACCCTGAGCCAGACGGAGCAATAATCTGACTTGTTCTTAGGCAGCTTCCTATGACATCTCTTCTGTTGCCTGCCATCTCCAAGCGGTGAGAGATTCTAAGGTTTCCAGGCACTTCCCCAGAGTTTGTGTTTCCCTTTGGAAATGTGGCACAGTGGAAACTGTGGTGTCTTTAGGATGTATGGTTTATTGGCTACATCTAAGCAAACTTAGCCTAGGATGGAGAGGTTCACAGCATTCACACTCCAAGGTCCAGTTTCTTCTTCCATAGCCGCAGCCTTGGATTCAAGCAGAAATCAAAGCCTTGCTCTCTGCCTGTCTGCTTGCTGGTTTGTTCTCCAGCTTCCATAACAGCAAACTCTGCTCTCCAACTCAGGCATTGCCCTTCTTGCTATTTGGGTGTTGAGGGAAGGGCCTCACCTATTTGCCACCTGGCACAGAGCCGCCTCTCGTTTGCTTTCTTAATGGCCTATCGCCCAGGTGATCACCCGAACACAGGAAGCTAGCCAGGCTTGATTTGCTTCTAACACATAATAATAATAATAATAATAATAATAATAATAATTTCTATTTATACCCCGCCCTTCCCCAGCCAAGACTGGGCTCAGGGCAGCTAACACCCTATATAAAAACAAATTGATTGAAATACAACTTAAAAACAAGATTAAAATACAACATTAAAATATTAAAATACAGCCTCATTTCAATGGAAACTCAAATCAAAAACTTTGGGGGGGGATGATAACGTCAAGTCTTCACCAAGGCTAACTTTCCAGACTGGTCCTACATGGGTCAGAAATACATACAGGGAATATATAGGAATATAGGTGACTGGCTCCCACAAACTCGTAACATCCCTGCCTGAAATGCTAGAAAGCAGCTGCCAGTCAGTGTAAACAGCACTGAGGCAGAGGAGCCAATGCTCTGACTTGTTCTAAGGCAGCTCCCTATGACATACATACGAAAGACTCAGGTACTCCAGAGCCACTAAGGGGTGTGGCCTGCACAGAGGGGTGTGGCTTGTAGAGAGTTGCAAGAACCAACTTTGGAAGATGAAGGTGAACGTTGGAAGATTTAAGCCAGGTAAAACAAAGCTTTCATGCAGTGCCGTTAAACTATGGAACTCCCTCCCACAGGAGGCAGCAATGGCTTCAAAAGAGGATTAGACAAATTCATGGAGGAAAAGGCCATTGATGGCTTTTAGCTCAGTCGGTAGAGCATGAGGCTCTTGATCTCAGGGCTATGGATTCAAGCCTCACATCGGGCAAAAGATTCCTGCAACGCAGGGGGCTAGACTAGATGGCCTTTGGAGTCCCTTCCACCTCTACAATTCTATGATTCTATGGTTATGAGAGGCTTGGCAGGCTGGATTTAGCCCTCAGGTTTCCAAGATTCTCTGCCTCTTATAAGTAAGGCAGAGGAGGGAAGGCCAGCGACTCCTGAGCCATCTGGGATGTGAATACAGTGGTACCTCGGGTTACATACGCTTCAGGTTACATACGCTTCAGGTTACACACTCCGCTAACCCAGAAATAGTGCTTCAGGTTAAGAACTTTGTTTCAGGATGAGAACAGAAATCGTGCTCCGGCAGCGCAGCAGCAGCGGGAGGCCCCATTAGCTAAATTGGTGCTTCAGGTTAAGAACAGTTTCAGGTTAAGAACGGACCTCTGAAATGAATTAAGTACTTAACTTGAGGGACCACTGTACTCCCCAAACACATTCCCTCCCCAGGCTGGCCTGTGCTTATTTTCAGTTTGCTGAGATCAAACGCAGGCCTGGGAAGTCAGGATCCTGCTCAGCTCCGATGGGAATTGGTCTCCATCCCACCGCTCCCCTCCCTGGAAAAACACACAGGGCAGAAATGACAAATGCTGTCAGGACCTGGGCAACATTCATCACCAGTTCCTCCGGCCAAGAGTAATTTCCATTAATAGACCTCTGGAATTCCTCTCCCAAAATAGGCGTTTGTCTGTTGATAAGGGGCAGCTGGCGGCTCCAGCTCTCCACAGGAGTCAAGAGGCTCCACAAAGCGGTTCGGGACGACTCCGGGACGCCTCGCCATGACAGAACGCCAAGTCCCCTTCACCTTCCTGCGCAGCCCCAGCTGGGACCCCTTCCGGGACTGGTACCGGGGCAGCCGCCTCTTTGACCAGTCCTTTGGGATGCCCCTCATCCCTGAGGACTGGTACAAGTGGCCTGTGGGGACCACCAGCTGGCCGGGCTACATCCGCCCTCTGGCCAGCCCTAGCCCAGAGCCAGTGGCCGCCAGCCCAGCCGCCGCCGCTGCCGCTGCCAGCCCAGCCGCCAACCCAGCATACAGCAGAGCACTGAGCCGCCAGCTCAGCAGCGGCATCTCAGAGATCCGGCAGACTTCCGAGAGCTGGAAAGTGGCCTTGGACGTCAACCATTTTGCGCCCGAGGAGCTGGTGGTGAAAACAAAAGACGGCGTTGTGGAGATCACAGGTAAGTGCCATCCCTTGAGAGGCTGGGAGGGGGACTTCAGGCCTGGAGGCCAAGTATGGCCTAGAGGCAACCCTCAGTTGGGCTCCCAAATGGCTCTCCCCAAGGCACACACCCTCCCGTCCCTCCTGTGGTGTAGTGGTTAGAGTGTCAGACCAGGACCTGGGTTCGAATCCCCACTCAGCCATGAAGCTCACTAGGTGACCTTGGGGGGAAGTCACGCAATCTCACCCTAACCAACCTCGCAGGGTTGTTGTTTGTATTAAATGGGGGGCAGCGAGAACCCTGTATGCCACCTGGAGCTCCTCGGAGGAAAAGGTGGTCTATTAATGCAATCATTAATCCATTGATTGATGGCAGACTTGCTCAATGGATGAACAGATTTGCTGCATTTTTCTCCAAAGAGATCATGGTAGCAAACTTGGTTCTCCCTCGTCTCAGTTAATTCCGCAATGCCGCTTTGAGGTAGCTTAGGCTGAGGGGGCCCCAAGGTCATCCAATAAGCTTCTTCAGGACTGGGGTGGGGTGGGGATTTCAGCCCTGGCCTCTCCCAGGTTCTAGCTAGACTGACACTCTAACCACTAGGCCACGCTGGCTCTCTGCACTCTGAAGTATTTTTGCCTGGCTGGATTGTGTCCTTGAGCTCTGATAAGGCCGTTGTGCCCTTTGCCTCAGGTGACAAAATGTATTGGAGCTGCCCAGGCATTGTGTGTGTGTGTGTGTGTGTGTGTGTGTGTGTGTGATGAATGGACCAAAAGAAAGTTGTAGCAGCCTGAAAATAAGATAAGGCACCTTCTCTGCTTTCGGAAATAAGGGCAGGTGATGTGGAACTCAAAAATCTGCTGAGACTCCAATGCTGAAAAATGTGGAATCTTCCCAAGCCTCTAGGAGACTAGATCATGGCACTCGTAGAACCACAAAACTGAAGAGTTGGAAGGGATCCAAAGGGTCATCTAACACCCCCTCCCCCAAAAAAGCAGGATTCACAGCTAAAGAATAGTAATCCAGGTGGGGTCTGACAAAGGCAGAATAGAGCGGGACTATGACTTCCCTTGATCTGGACACTACACCTCTGTGGATACAGCCTGGAATAGAATTAGGTTCTTTTGCTGCTGCATCACACGGTTGGCTGATGGTCCACTAAGACCCCTAGATCCTTTTCGCCTGTACTGTTGCCAAGCCAGGTGTCCCCTATCTTCTGCTTGTGCAGCTGGTTCTTCCTGCCTTTTGTCTCAACTCTACTCAGGTGGCAGGTGGAGGGCTTGAATCTCCAGGTAGGCAAGGGGGTATTTAATAATAAAACACTTATTGAGGAAGCCATGTACACAGCTGCTGCCAGTCAGTGCAGGACACTACAGTGGTACCTTGGTTTGTGAATGGCTTAGCTGTCAAACAAATTGGCTCCCAAACACCGCAAACCAGGGAGTAAGTATTCCAGTTTGCGAACGGTTTTTGGAAGCCAAACATCTGACACGGCTTCCGCTTGAGTGCAGGAAGCTCCTGCAGCCAATCAGAACCCACACCTTGGTTTTCGAGAACCAAGGTACCACTGTACTAAGATGAACCAATGGTCTGACTTGGGAGAAGTCAGATCACTATGTTCCTATGGCACTGCAAATTCATGTTTTGCAGGACCCTAACCCTCTTCCTAGGGACGCGGGTGGCACTGTGGGTTAAACCACAGGGCCCAGGACTTGCCGATCAGAAGGTCGGCGGTTCGAATCCCCGCAACAGGGTGAGCTCCCATTGCTCGGTCCCAGCTCCTGCCAACCTAGCAGTTTGAAAGCACGTCAAAGTGCAAGTAGATAAATAGGTACTGCTCCGGCGGGAAGGTAAACGGCGTTTCCATGCTCTGGTTCGCCAGAAGCGGCTTAGTCATGCTGGCCACATGACCCGGAAGCTCTACGCCGGCTCCCTCGGCCAATAAAGCGAGATGAGTGCCGCAACCCCAGAGTCGGACACGACTGGACCTAATGGTCAGGGGTCCCTTTACCTTTACCTTTAACCCTCTTCCTGCTAGTGCCATCTGTCCTAACTGTTTTTAATTCTGAATTCTAAATCGTTGTAGTGTGTCCAGAGACCTGCTGGTGAAGGACGGGTAATTAGAATTGTAGAATCATAGAACTGTAGAGTTGGAAGGGACTATGGGGGTCATCTAGTCCAACCCCTGCAATGCAGGAATCTTTTGCCCAAGGTGGGACTCGAACCCACAACCCTGAGATCAAGAGCCTCATGCTCTACCGACTGAGATACTAAGTACTACTAATAATATAATTTGCTGGTTTTCTTTTTCTCTCCCTGTTGGGGGTGGGGAGATCATCCCTCCTGCCTCTTTTTCAGCCCAACGGTGGAGGGAAAAAGCTAATGAGATAAAGCCACATTAGTCAGTTACAGAAAATTGGGAGGGAGAGAAGGACTGGTCTTGTGACACCTTAAAAGCCATTGGGTTTATTGTGGCAAATGCTTTTGTTTTTTTGAGCCGCATCAGGGTGATGAGTGCTCTGAGTCGGATCTCCCCACTTTTTCCCTCGGTGAGGCTCCTCCAATCAGAGGAGCCGGAAAGAACAAAGATGGGTGTGGCCCAAGAAGGCAGACAAAGGAGCACAGAGCTTGGGAGGTCCCTCCCCCCTTTTTCTCCCCCCCTCCCAGCCAGCTGGGTTGCAGCTGCCACATTACACCCCTGATTAAAATCAATGAGATTGATCAGGTGCCAAGTTTGCGCCTTAGCGAAAAGTGGGCAGAGGAGGAGCGGGGAGGAAGCCTGGAATCACAGCCTTTCCCCCCACCCCACCCCAGAAACACCCTTTCTTTTTCTTTCTTTCTTTCTTTCTTTTTTAATATTCAGAAATATGAACAGTTTATTTTGAGACAACAAGAAACCTATTTGGCAAAACATTAATAATTAGGTGGAAATGAGGGAATAATACTATATTGGACATTTTGGCTATTACTAAAACGACCATTCTCCCCAAATTAACAGATTCCCCCTTGCTGCTACATGCAAGACACCCTTTCTGGGAAGCATTATTCCCTGTCCTTGCCTACCCCCTCAGCCGCTGGGTGCCTCTGACCCCCTCCCCAAAATCTCTGCCAGGCCATTCTGAATTATTCATGCTTTCGCTCAGTCCCCACCCTCTCGGGAATTGGGATGGGATAAATGTGGCTCCCCCCACCCATAGCTGTCAACTTTTCCTTTTCTTGCGAGGAATCCTATTCGGAATAAGGGAATTTCCCTTTTAAAAAAGGGAAAAGTTGACAGCTAAGCCCCCACCCCACTTCTTATACTCTGGTGATACCGCAGCCGGCACCCATCGTTGTGGGGTCCCACCCCACCACCCAAATCTCAGTTCGTCGCCCTCTGAAATATTAATGGATGTTTGCGGTCCATGGCTTAACATGTGGCCATGGCAACCAGCGCAGCAGCAGGCAAGGGTAGGGAGGCAAGAACACAAGGAAGAGGGAATGGTTTGGTGTTGCAGTCAATTCTCGGAAAATACGGCAGCAGTGAAGGTTGGTTGGTTGGTTGGTTTCTTCGCAGCTTGATACCAGGCACAGGGTTCTCAGGGTGGCTTATGAAAATCAGCACTGAAACGGCCCCTGCTAGGCTGACCGTTTTAAAAAAAGACACAGCACACGAGGAAAAGAGAGGAGGAGGGAGGAGGAGGGAAGCAAACTCAACGTTACAGCTGTTCATGCCGTCCAGCCTAGAAGGCTCCCTCCCTTCTGGTGCCGACCGAAGGGCAAGAGGCATGCTGATGCTCAGGGTGACCAGTGATTTCCCTGCAGATATTCATAGAATCATAGAACTGTAAATGATCCCTGAGGAACATCTAGTCCAACTCCCCCCGCAATGCAGGAATATGCAGCTGTCCCAGCCAGAGATTAAACCTGCAGCCTTGGCATTATCAGCACCACGCTCTAACCAATTCATCCATGTTAAGCATTAAATATCTATTCTTTTTAAACATATGTGCCCCCCCCATCTTTTTAAAAAAGGGAAGGTGGTTTATGCCAAGTCTGAAACTTCACCCATTCAGTAGCAGGGATGAGAGGCAGAATTTGTTTAAAGGCCTACAAAGGTAATTCGCACTTTTTGAAGCAATCCACAAACCATATCAGGCCACCTTTTCAAATCTGAACGTCTCCAGATATTTCAACGTAGTTCTCCAGCAAAGTTATGTTTGCAGAAATGCATATGATTTTGGAAGAGTGGGTGTTACTAGGGTAAAGAAATGCATATACTTGGGCTAAACATACCTAAAAATGCATATATTCAGTGGGTGGGTGGGAACCATAGCGAACAGCATTCTGTTAGGGAAGATTACTTTGCAGGAATATGTATATTAGAAAAAGTTTCATCAATAAATCACTTATTATGCTGTAACAAACCCATTAAGATAGAAGAGAGAGTGAAAAATAACAACACTCAAGGCAGCATTCATGTATTTTTAATACCATATGATGCACAGAGTAAAACACACACATATTTGAAACAGAATGTGCTACAAGGAGAAAACCTGAGATACAAATAGCAGTAAAAATGAGAGTACCATCTTGCAAGGCCTTTGAAGAGAGAGGCGGAACTTGGTTATTAAATAATTTGTATCAGCCAAGAAATATTCCAAATACCAACACCAAGTTTCTTCCCTCATACAATAAAGGAGGAAAAATCCCATAGGTTTATGTATATTAAGAGAAATTAACATTAAAATGCTGATGAATTTCAATAAGGAGGTTTTTAAAATAATAATAATAATAATAATAATAATAATAATAATAATAATAATTTAAGATTGGAAAAATGAGAACCTGAAACTGACATAGGCCTTTGGATAATTAAACAATCTGTGGCCTTTTGGACTGTCTGTGTGTGTTAGTGTTTTTGCTTGTTATTATGGTATGTATTCTTGTGTGTTCACTTTGCAAATTGCACATTGCAAATCTAGAATTTAATAATAATAATAATAATAATAATAATAATAATAATCACGCATCCTCAGGTAAGCGTGCATGCAGTCAAATGCCACAAGCTTTCCTTCCCTCTCCGCATGGCATTCTTGCCTGATGTTTCTGAGCAACCCAATATGGTGGCGCCATGTGCCTGCCTGACAGCGGTGGCTGCTTTTGCCAGAGGAAATGGCCCTGCTGCTCCCCTCACATCCTGCCCATCCCTGCCTCTTGGATTCTGCTTTGGCGAGGGTGCATGTGGCTTAAAACCCTGCAGGGGTGAGATAATGGCAGGGATGGGGGGTGGGATGCATTTTCTCATCTGCCTCAGGTGGCAAAATATCTTGGGCCAGACCTGTGAGAGAGACATGATTAGAGTAGGGGTCGGAGAGACCTGGTTGGGTGCCTGGGGGGAGAGTTAAATGAATGTATTGGGGGATTTCCCCATCTCTTAAGGCAGCATTGATGTCCCCATGACAGTGTCGTGTGTTTTTTCAGGCAAGCATGAAGAAAGGCAGGACGATCATGGGTTCATCTCCAGATGTTTCACAAGAAAATACACGTAAGTAGCTGAACCAGTTGGCTGGGGAGAGAAGCGAAGCTTTTCAGGGTCTGAGGACAAGGAAGGCAGATCTGCTGCCCCACCAACCTCAATCTTGATTTTTTCCAAGCCTTTCTGCCATCTGTCTCTCATTGCCTTGCAAAGGAATTTGTCCGACCAGCTCAGCAGCCTCTTCTGCTGGATTCTAATCCTCATTGGGCACAGGGTCAGAAGCCTGGAAGAGACCCCCTGATATCATCCAGACTGACCCCCTCGAACCCATAATAATGTACTGCTTTCCACTCTCACGCTTCTCTGTTCCCTTCTACAGGCTGCCCCCTGGTATCGACCCTGCTGCTGTCCGCTCCTCCCTTTCCCCCGATGGCATGTTGACGATAGAGGCTCCTTTGCCCAAGCCGGCCATTCAGTCTGCCGAAATCCAGATCCCTGTCACCTTCGAGGCGCATGCCCAAATCACCCCGTCAGGAGCCAAGAAACCGGAAGAGGCTCCCAAGGTGTAAATGACGGGTGGGAGTTTACCACTCGGGTTTCGAAAACAGGCAGACCCTCCTGTATCCCCTTTTTTTTGTAAAGACAGAGACCTCTGCAACAGCGCCACAAATAAAGTTGTGTTTTTTTAAATCCCCATGTATGGTTTTTGATTTATTTATTTTGAATCGTCTTGTTTTTGTGTTTGGGGTCATGGTGGGAGTCGGCTGATTAACGGGCATCCATGTGGACTAAGAATCAAGGCCTTCAAAACAGACAGTCAGGTGCAATGGACATACAAATATAATTATCATTAACAAGTAAATGTTTCAAAGCATGCAAAACCAAGCATACAGATTTGATGCACATCAGCACCCCACAGTTTAGTCCTTTTCAGAAGACATCTGAATGCAGCCCTGTATTGGGAAATTTTTAGTGTCTAATGTCTTACACTTTTTTAAAATTGTTGTTGTTGTTGTTGTTGTTGTTGTTCTTCTTCTTCTTCTTCTTCTTCTTCTTCTTCTTCTTCTTCTTCTTCTTCTTCTTCTTCTTTTCTTGGGTAATGCATCAATGACCAACCCCATTCATAAGTACTGGTCATCCCTGGCCGGGTTGCACAGTTGCTAGGCAACCCCTCCAGGGAGCAGGCCCACTCTCTACAACTCAGTGCATTTACTGTCCACCAGTGGCTCAAAACCTTTTCCATGCTCACAGAGAATTCTTTCCATGTAAGGAAACCAGAATGTGGGAAATGAACCTGAAACCCACCAGGCTGAATGGAGCTCACCAGCTACATATAAGATCAGCAGACAGGGGGCAAGGAAGGGTTTAAGGCCAGCCAGAATTGGCCAGCTGTGGCTAGCAAGTGGCTGCAGTTGGCTTCCACAATCCTGCCCAAGATGGATCTCAGTCTTTCTTAGTTATGTACTAAGCTTGAATCCTAGAACAATAGGCAGGTAGGATCCTAGAATGCAACAACTGATTGGCTTGCAGGAAAAGACCAATCAGGCTCCAGGAGCTCAGACGGGACCCATTGTGTAAAGAATGTATATAAAAGCCTGAGGTTTGTGGGGCAATTCAATCACTGTTTTACAAGCTGCAACAAAGAGCATGAAATCACTACAGGACTCTGAGTATATTTCATTGTTCTTTGTCCTCTTCTTCCCAGCACACCTTGCTAAAGACTCTCTTTCCCTGTCACTTCACCCCCAGTTACCCTGGTAACCTTCTGTCTGGCCAGGCCCAAGAATTCCTCTTACATGGGACATCGGCACCTTTTGTAGTGTTCATGTCTCCATCCCAGGTGTGGCCCTGGCTTGGAAAGGAAGCTTAGCCTGTTTCACTCCACTAGCCTGCAGTTTCCCCTTCAATACTCCAAATAATCAAAATCTGACCATTTATTAATTTCTAGGGTTTAGCCCCCACCCCCAATCTATGACAATATATTGGTGTGAGGGAAGGGAAATTTTTTGATTCCGTTTGTACTTAAAAAGCAAATCTTTGCACTTTCCAGAGCAGCGTCAACAATATGTCCACATTCTCCATATTTTGCCATGCAGTTCTCCTGCTAAGTAATGTCTACAAATGTGTGTAAAGTGCATTTATAAGTGAACCTGCCCCCCCCCCAAAAAAACCCACCAAAACTAAAAATGTAGGGGAAATGTAAATCTTAGGGAAATAGACCCATTTCCAATTCTGGAAAAAAAGGTGTTGGCCAGAAGAGAATAAAAAATAAAAAATAGAAGGAATGCATTTGTCTGCACAGGTGAAACGGGAGTTTTGCAGATGCATTCCTCTGTGGCCAAATGACACAGAGCATTTCAATGGCATTTTGATACCGACAGCTGGAAATTTTAAAATCGCACGCGGGTGTCGCCTCGCAGTCAAGCATTGTGAGTGCACATCGACGTAGCTGGTGCAATCAAGTTGCAGACGGTCCCCCAGGAGCCCCTGACCAGGCTGGGGAGGGAGGCAGAGCGGGAGAAGCAGGCCAGTGATGAAGGCGAGGCCTTATATGGTCAGAGCTGCTGCAAAGGCACAGAAGAGCCTCTCTGTATGGTTGGGGGGATGCGAGGCAGGGGAGAGAACAAAGCCGGCAGCCCAGGGCACCAAGATTACGAACAAAGATCCTAAGGAGAGCCTGCTGGATCAGGCCAATGGTCCATCTAGTCTCACAGTGGCTAGCCAGATGGCTCAATGGGAAATCCGCAAGCAGGAACTGAGCACTAAAAGCACTTTCGTCCCTCCTGTGGATTCCAGCAACTGGCATTCAGAAGCATTGCTGCTTCCACCATCCTGTGTCTTGAGGGTTAAGAGCTACAGTAAACAGTGGTGTAGCATGGGTTGCCAGTGCCCGGGGCAAGGCAACTATTGCACCCTCAACCCATGGTTCCTGCGAGGGTGGGGCAGCGGCGATATTAGTGGGGAGGGGTCTTCCCAGCAGGGAGAGGGAAGCTGGGCAGGGGACAGTGGCAGCGGCCATATATTTTATCATTATTATTTACAGTGGTACCTCAGGTTAAGTACTTAATTCGTTCCGGAGGTCTGTTCTTAACCTGAAACTGTTCTTAACCTGAAACACCACTTTAGCTAATGGGGCCTCCTGCTGCCACCACGCCGCCGGAGCCCAATTTCCGTACTTATCCTGAAGCAAAGTTCTTAACCTGAAGCACTTTTTCTGGGTTAGTGGAGTGTGTAACCTGAAGCGTATGTAACCCGAGGTACCACTGTATTTCATGGCTTTTTTACACCACTTGATTGTTGTAGTTTTTTTAAAAAAACTCAAAGTGGTTTTACTTTTGAAATTCTGAACCCGGGGCAACAGCCCCTCTGCTCCCCACCCCTCTATGCTACACCACTGGTTCAGAACCCCAGTTGCACAGGGGATGAAGCCTCCTAGCTCCTAATGACTGACCAGGAAAGGAAACTTTGGGTTCGTAGTTGATGGGTCATTGAAGATGTCGGCCCAGCCGTGGAAAAGGCAAATTCCATGCTATGGATAATTGGGAATGGAAGTGAAATGAAGGCTGCCAGGTTCGGAATGTGGTTATACAAATCCACTACGTTTTTGAAGTGCTGTGTACCGTTCTGGTCGCCTCACCTCAAAAAGGAGTTGGAAAAGGTTCAGAAAAGGGCCACCCAGATGATGGAGTAACTTCCCTGTGGGGAAAGATTGCAGAGTTTGGGACTTTGAAGTTCAGAGAAAAGGTGAGTAAGAGCCTTCATGATGAAGGTTTATGGAGAAAGTGGATAGAGGAAAAGGTTTCCCCCCCCTCCCTCTTTCATAACACCAGAGCTTATGGACATCCCATGAAGGCGAATGTTGAAAAGTTCAAACCAGACAAAAGATAGGCCTTCTTCACACAGCGCATAGTTAAACTGTGGAACTTGTTTCCTCAGGAAACAGTGATGTCTACCAACCTCAACAGCTTTATGGAGGAGAAGGCTATCAGCCATGACGGCTCTGCTCTGACTCCAAGATCAGAGGCCGCAGTAATTCTGAATATTGGTTGCTGGAAATCGCAGGAGGGCAAAGTGCTCTTGAATTCAAATCCTGCTTGCGGGTTTCCCACAGGCATGTTTGTTCACTGCGAGAACAGGATGCTGGACACAACAGGCCATTGGTAAAATTTGCATTAAAATGCACATATTAGTGAAAACAACATACGAAAATGCATTACAGTACAGAAAATTGATCTGCAAAAACTAAAATGCTGGTGCATATTCTTGTTTTTTTAACGAAATCAGAAATTGATGTGGAGGTGCAGAGAACTGAACTTTGGTCAGGAAAAACAAAAACCTGAGAGAAATAATACGGAAAGGTTTGCATATCCTTAGCAGCAGCCCTGCATAAGCATGAGAGGCCAGGGTTGAAAACCCCACAAAGCTATAAAGCTCACTGGGCCAGTCACTGCCTCTCAACCTAGCCTACCTCACAGGGTTGTTGTGATGATTAACTGAGGAGGGGAGAGAACCATGTGTGCCATGTCAAAATCTTTGGCGGGGGGGGGGGGGAAGGATGGGATGTAAATGCCATCAACCAACCAATTCAAATAGTAAATAATTGCTTTCACCTATCCAATAACGTTTTGGCATTTTCCAGGGCTTGAATTATTTCAGGGTGGTGGTTGCAGAGCAGTGTGTCCTCTTTATTTTCCTAATACCCTACTCTTTACTGGAGTGTTGTGGGGGGGTTGTTTGGGGGTTTCGAAATGTCACCGCTGAAAACTTTAATCTGACATAGCCGCATTGTTTGCGCACAAAGCGCATGCTTGTTTCCTTTCATTCAGAGGGTCTGTATGTGTGTGTTGGGGATGTTCGCACTTGTCCGGATAAGAAAGGGGAATGAATTGCCATTGTGTTAGTTTATTATGTCATTTACTGCCTTGTGTCCGGTGTGTGTGGGGGGGTGTCCTTTTAAAGGGCAGGCGGGGAGAGGAGAAAAGAAACTGAGAGGAAAGTATCCTGCCCAGAGAAATCCGCACATGCTGTCTGTAGTGCTCTCTGTGACGGCAAGGCAACGGTTGTTAGGCCGGCCCAGAGACGCAAACCTGCATCTCTTGGGCTCGTTGCTAGGCAACAGTGGAGGCTTCTGGGTAGCCGCTGTTCCTGATGAGATGCAGTTAAGAGATCTTCATATCATACCCAACAACACTTCGCCAATGAAAACAGTGACGTCCTACTCCATAATAATAATAATAATTTTATTATTTATACCCCCGCCCCTCCTCATGTGACAGGCTTGCCGTCAGCCACTCTGGGCTGCTTCCAACCTATATGAAAACATAATGAAACATCAAACATTTTAAAAATACTTCTCTATATACAGGACTGCCTTCCGATGTCTTCTGAAAGTTGTCGAGTTACTTATCTCCTCAACTCGGGGGTCGCATAATTCCATACCCTCCCAAAAATTCTCTGGTGAAAATAGGGGTGTCTGGTTGGCGCTGTGGGTTAAACCACAGAGCCTAGGACTTGCCAATCAGAAGGTCGGCAGTTTGAATCCCCACGACGGGGTGAGCTCCTGTTGCTCGGTCCCTACTCCTGCCCACCTAGCAGTTCGAAAGCACGTCAAAGTGCAAGTAGATAAATAGGTACCGCTCCAGCAGGAAGGTAAACGGTGTTTCCGTGCACTGCTCTGGTTCACCAGAAGTGGCTGAGTCATGCTGGCCACAAGACCCGGAAGCGGTATGCCGGCTCCCTCGGCCAATAAAGCGAGATGAGCGCCGCAACCCCAGAGTCGGCCACGACTGGACCTAATGGTCAGGGGTCCCTTTACCTTTACCTTAAGGAAAAGTGGGGGAGACACTGCAGGATCAAATTGGAAACCTGGACGGCTTCTGCGAGTCCGGGACTGTCCCTGGAAAATAGGGACACTTGGAGGGACTGTATATCCCATGTTAAGGACGTCTGCACTTAACTAGCAAACCTCTCTGCGTGAAGGCCAGTGGCGTAGCGTGGGGGGTGCAGGGGGGGGCCGGCCGCACCAGGCGCAACATCGGGGGTGCGCGCTCGCACTCGCAGCTCTCTGCCCCTACCTGGCTCACTCACTCTCTCTCACTGCAGTGCTGGCTGTGCGAATCCGATCCGAGCCGCTGGGTCACCGCCCACTGTGGAGGGGGTGGGTGCCAGGCGTGCGGTGCGGAGAGAGAGCGAGGGACTATCTGGGGGAGGGACAGTGCAGCGGCCGCCCAGCGCAGCGCTGAGCGCGGGAGAGAACCACACCAGACCAGACCAGGCAGCAGAAAGAAGAAGCTGGCAGCGGCGGCAGGTTAGGGGTTAGGGGGCGCAAATTACTTGCCTTGCCCCGGGTTAGGGGGCGCAAATTACTTGCCTTGCCCCGGGTTAGGGGGTGCAAATTACTTGCCTTGTCCCGGGTGCTGACAACCCACGCTACGCCGCTGGTGAAGGCCCCCATGCAGTGCAGAGTTAAACTATGGAACTCACTCCTGCAGGAGAAATAAGGCTATTAGTGGCCACTAGCCATGGCGGCTGTGCTGCCTCTACAGTTGGAGGCAACTATACTTCTGAATACCAGCTGCTGGAAATGGCAGAAAAGAGGGAGGGTGCTCTTGTTTGAATCCTGCTTGCTGCTTTCCCACAGGCATCTGGTTGGCCCCTGAGAGAACAAGGTGTGGATTAAGTGGGCCACTGGCCTGACCCATCAGGAACTCTGCTTATTTTTATTCCTTGAACCAGGAAGCTTGCAAGAGCCATGGGAATTCACCCCTTATTTCCCCCAAATAAGCCATATTTAGAAGGGGGGTGGAATCGGCTCTGCTCCACATCTGCTTAAAGCCACATTTTCCTTTGTGCCGCGGGAGGCCCTCTGCACATGCTCAGGAGCCCACTGTTCAAGGAGTGCCTCTTCAAATCTGCATACCCCTTGGGCCTCACCAGGAGGTCTTTGCCCCCAAATCACACTGTCTCCAGATGCTCATCTCGGGACACACTTCCCGGCTTCCGAAAGCCGCCTCTTAATTTCAGAAGTCCAGATGGTGGACTTAGCTGGGGCATTTTGACCCGGCGGGCCTTAATACAGGATGTGACTGAGGGCCTGGGCTTGACCCAGCTGCAGTTACATAAAGCCCCACATGCATGCAGCAGGCGCAGGAAAAGATGTGTGAACTCTCTCCTCCTCCTCCCCCCTCTCCCCAAATCCTTCTGCCACAAGGCAAGGGGTGGGAGGCTCTCCCTCCCTCCCCAATTTGTTTCAGCCTTAGCAACAGACTGGTGATTTGGCAGCCAGCTGCTAGCTCCCTCTCCCTCATTGGCTGCCGAGATTGCGCAGGGATTGGCCACAAGCGATGTGTGCGAGTGTGCTTGCACACTGGGAATTGTGTGTCAGGCCCAGAACAAAGGGCGTGGCAGGCTGGGAGGCTGCTGCAATTGCGGTCCTCCTCGTCCCAATGCAGATTTCCGAGGGATCAGGCCGGACTCCGGAGCTGCCACGCTGCACCAGAGATGTGGTGCAGAGCAGGATGTGCCCCTCTGGGGACGGAGGGCGGGCAAACCAGCAGAAAAGGCTTGGCTGTGATGCTGTCTGTGCTCTCTCGCTTTCCCGCACTTCACAGATGGAAACAGGAACATTCCTCTGTGCTGGTAACCGCTGAAGGCTCTTTTCTGACAGCCCAGATGATGTCCTTGCTTGCCCAGCAAAGCTCCTGCGCTGGACCAGTTTTTAAAGGACAAGTGTCCTTTGCACACTTGGGCAAGGTGGAAGGAAGGAAGGAAGGAAGGAAGGAAGGAAGGAAGGAAGGAAGGAAGGAGGAGTGTCTGGGCTGCATCTGTCCCTTTGACAGCACCTAGACAGGCTAGTGAAGCTCTTCCAGGACAGGGCCATAAACTGCATCACCTACCAATTGTAAAATTGATGGGCTGGAAGGAATTTCAAGGGCCATCTAGTCCAACCCCCTGCAATGCAGGAATTGCAGCTAAATAATCCCTGACAGATGGCCATCCAACTCCCATTTTAAAATCCTCCAGTGATGGACATTCTGCTACCTTCTGAGGGAGTCCTTTCCATGGTCAGACAGCTTTACTTACCCTCAGAAAGTTCTTCCTGTGCATCAATTTGCTCTTCAGGCACAGATATATCAGGCAGTTTAAAAGTTTGAGCTTTTTTTATTTTAAAGATTTTATTGAAGTGAATCAAACAAATCAATAAAGGTAAAAGGTGAAGATAAAGGACCCCTGGATGGTTAAGTCCAGTCGACTATGGGGTGCGGCGCTTCAGGCCAAGGGAGCCGGTATTTGTCCACAGACAGCTTTCTGGGTCATGTGGCCAGCATGACTAAACCGCTTCTGGCACAATGGGACACAGTGATAGAAGCCAGAGTGCACGGAAATGCCATTTACCTTCCCACCACAGCGGTACCTATTTATCTACTTGCACTGGTGTGCTTTTGAACTGCTAGGTTGGCAGGAGCTGGGACCGAGCAATGGGAGCTCACCCTGTTGCAGGGATTCGAACCGCCGACCTTCTGATTGGCAAGCCCAAGAGGCTTGGTGGTTTAGACCACAGTGCCATCCGCTCCCTTTTTAAACAAATCAATACAATAAAAACAATAGAAGTACCCAAAAAGCAGCGCAGGACAGTCATACCTCGGGTTACAGATGCTTCAGGTTGCGTTTTTTCGGGTTGCGGACCACCAAAACCCGGAAGTATCGGAATGGGTTAGTTCCGGGGCTTGGTGGTCGTGCATGTGCAGAAGCGCTAAATCACACTTTGCACATGCGCAGAAGCGCAACCCCCGTGTGCGCAGAGGTGCTGCTGCGGGTTGCGAACGCCGTGGGTTGCGAACGTGCATCCCGCACAGATCACATTCACAACCCAAACATCCATTGTATATGCAGGACTTAATATTAGGTGTGTGTTTCTTTATTGCGTTTATAACCCACCTTCCCCCACAATGAGCTCACGGTGGTGCACATGACTCTCCTCCTCTCTTCCCCCCCACCCGACAACAACCCTGTGAGGTAGGCATGGTTGAGCAGAAATGAGTGCCCCAAGGTCACCCAATGAGCTTCATGGCTGAGTGGGGATTCAAACCCTGGTCTCTCCCAGGTCCTGGTCTGGCACGCTGACCACTCAAGTCCATTAAGAAAGTATTGATTTGTACGTTGTACTGTAGGGAATGAGTTCTGTGTGTTTGCATTTGCTGTAAACAAGATAAAATCCCACCGAAAAGCATACAATTTATCAGGGTCCTCCAAGCCTTATATAATTTATTAGTCTCCCCCAACTTATTATTATTATTTATTGAATTTATATACCACCCTATACCCTGATGCTAAACTCCACATATTTTTTATACCAAAGGAAAAGTTGCATGTCCTGTAAGGTTTTCCATTTAGGGGGGCAACTGAGGTCCTGGCAGCTGTCATCGTCCTGTTAAGAGAGCAGAAACCTTGCAGCTGATCATCCCATGCATTTAGCAAACAGGACTGTGGTGAAATTGGAATGGGATGTTTGAGTGCTTTGACCATTGCTTGACAAACCATTATCCAGAATATGAATATCTGTGGGCAGAAAAGGTGTCTCTTTTTCCGCAGCTAAAACACTGGCATCGCCGATTGTAACCCCAAGCTCATTAGACCTAACAAATTCCAATTTATGGCCTGGTGCAGGCAAGCAAAAAAGAGGATGGGGAGTTTTGTCCTTTGCCACCTGATCAGCCTGTGACACCTGACTGATTAGTTTTTAATCCTCTAGGCCCATTGCCAAATGGGAGGTTAGGGAAGCAGTTTCCTTAATAGTTGTCATGTGTCTGCTTTTAATGCTTTGCTGATTCAATAGCTCAGTTGGTTAGAGCATGGTGTTGACAGCACCAAGGTTGCAGGTTCGATCCCAATACGGGACAGCTGCATATTCCTGCATTGCAGGGGGTTGGACTAGATGATCCTCAGGTTCCCTTCCAACTCTACAATTCTATGATTTGCCCAGACCCCACGTGCCTGCCTTCTTACTTAAAAGCTGTCAGGAGTTGGCTCTGCCCGTCACGATCTCTTGCACCCCCTACTGGTGACCTCCCTGCTTGTCACCCTATCAATCCCAATGGACACCAGATGGAGGTGGTAATATTTGGGGGTGGGGGCTGTAGCAAGCATGTATTCTTAATGATATCAAAAAGGGCTCTTCCGCTCAGGACCTTAGCTGTCACCTTTTCCCTTTTCTTGCAAGGAATCCTATTCAGAATAAGGGAATTTCCCTTTAAAAAAGGGAAACGTTGACAGCTATGCTGAGGACCAAGTCCTGCTTGTGGAGCTCGTCAGCCTGGGAAGGGAGCCCATTTAGGAGAAGAAAAAGTGATCTGAAACCTGCACTGCCTTGCAGGATATCTTTGGGAGAAGGAAAGGCACAAATCCGAATATTAGAGAGTTGGATGGAGTCTCTTTCCAGCAACTCCTGCAGCCAAGCTGCCAAATGGACACAATACTCTGCTTTCCTTTGGACCACAAGGCCAAGAGGGATGGGGTCTTGTTTTCTGGGCAGCCCCGGACCTACATGCACACTGCTGCCCAGGCTTGCACCCGAGGAGGTAACCTCTGTGCTGCTAACGCAGTAGATCAGTTACCACCTCACTCTCTGCAGGACAGAGGTGCGCTTGAGGGTGCCATACCAGTAGCAGCCTGTAGGTGGCAGCGCCGCCGAGCAGACGCCAGGCGGGGATTGGAAGCCGATGCTGCAGCAGCAGCAGCAGCCGGCAGCTCCCTTGCGGTGCAGGAGAGGTGAAGGGGGCGAAGTGCGCCTGCGCAGCTGGGAGGGAGGTGGATTTCTGCATTGCAGCGAGGTCCGTTTTGCAAGAAACTGGGGGTCGGGGGTCGGAAGGACCCCATGTAAAGTGAGGCACGGAAAAGGAGCTGGCAGCAAGCCTCAGATCCCAGGACAAGCACACCCATCTCCCCATGGTGATATCATTCATTAAATTTGTTTTTTGGCGGTCCCTTATGTAACAAGAGGCAGAAACCCAACAGGTGTAGCTTTCCTCTCCATGCGATTCCGAGCTCTGGGTGTGTGATGGCATGAAAAGCCCTTCTGCAAAGAATCTCTCTCTCCCTCTCCCTTTTTATCCCTCCCAAAAGCACTGCGAAGGACGTTCAGCTGGGTGACAGTGGCTGGCCAGAGATCAAGAAGTCTATTTTCATGGTTAAGTGGTCCTAGTTCTACACCTTATTAGCCGATTCAAGAGGTGGTGGGAGGGAGCAAGAGATTCAGAACAGGGTCAAATGCTGACAGAAGTCGCCAACAGCATGTAACACCTGCGCTCAGAGACCTGGAGTCATATAACACTTGTTCCATGTTTGTAAGAAATCAAACTTCTAGTCTTTGGAAATCCCTGACTATTGAAACCAGTCAGGTGCCTTCACTCTGTTCAGCACCTGCTAAAAACTTTTTTCTTTAGGGCAAGCTGACCCAGACATGTAGAATGTTGGCATGTGTCTTAATCTGGTTTTTAGCTTATCGTTGACTGTCTTTTGAACGTTTTAAATAGTTCCTTTTGACAGTTTATTATTATTTTTGTAAACCCGATTTGAAGTTTTTCCATACAATCAGGCGGTATATAAAGTTTATATACTGCATTCTCAACAGCTGCCCAGCGAAGGAGATCCCACCTTTCGGAACTGCTTCTAGCACTAATTCATTTCCAGCCTTTCTGGTGTTTAAAGACAGCCATTATGTCATTCCTTAAATCTTTGCTTCTCCAGGATGAGTGTAGCCAGTTCTTTCAACTGACCTCATTGAACATGTTATCATACAACGCTAGAGTTGGAAGGGATCTGGAGGGTCATCGAGTCCAACCCTCTGCAATGCAGGAATCTCAACTAGATCTTTCATGACAGATGGCCATCCAACCTCTGCTTAAAAACCTCCAGTGAAGGAGAGTCCACCACCTTCCAAGGGAGCTCATTCCACTGTCAAACGGCTCTTACCATCAGTAAGTTCGTCCTGATGTTTAGTCAGAATCTCCTTTCTGTTAACTTTTACGTTACTGGTTCGAGTCCTATCCTCCAGAGCAGAGGAAACCAAGAGAAAACAAAGCAGTTTCCCAGACTTCTGCCCACCCCAGTTATCTTCCAACAGCAGCAAGCTGGTACCCATTAGGACTCGTAGCATGGAAGGCCAACAGTATGAGAGCCAACAACAGGCTCCCTGATGGGTTGTAAGAAGACAGGGCAGGCAGGGGCTGGCTGAGGGCGGATTGAGGCTGGTGGCATAGGGCCCCATTTTCCTTAATGGCTCAGCCTCCACCTATCCAGTTTTTCAACACCCTTCCCAAAACATGGTGCCAACAACTGGACACAGTACTCCAATTCTAGCCTGACTGGTGCAGAATTGGCCAGAACTATGACTTTTCACGATGTGGACACTTGGTTCAATGAGGACCATTGGTTGCCTTTAGCTCCGTTAATCTGTGAAGCATATCCAGATGTTGTTGGACTCTGGCTCCCATCATCCATAGCGAGTGCGGCCCCTGGGAATGCACAATGGGAGTTGTGATCCTGCAGCACCTCAATCTTTACCAGTGCTTCTGCACATATAAACTTCAGAAGGGCCTATGATGCTGGAATACTTACATGTTTCCAGAAATACAGGCGCATCCTATAAGAGTTTACCAGGGGTGTGTGGGGAGAGAAGGCGCCTGTGCTGTTAATTCAAGCTTTTGAATGGGTTGTGACTAACATATGCATATGCAGCTGCACCCTGGCATTTCGCTTAGCCCGTGCTGCAGAAATGGTGACTCACCATTTTTTTAAAGTCTCTCTGTGCAGCAGCAATCATAAGACTGTAAGATAATCCTGGCTGCTGGAACAGACCAGGACTGTGCCTTGACTCACTGGCTCTGCAAAGGAGACAACCGGGAGTGGAAAGTTTACACTTCACAGCCCCAGAATGGAAAACTAAAAACAGAAATCCATGGCCCTTGGGTACCCTCTCAAGAGGTTTCCGCAGAGACATTCCTCATTAAAGCTCAGATCTGATAGAGAACAGGGGCAGGAAATCTGTAGACTCTAATTTCAATCAGTCTCCAGCTTACACAGGCAAGACTGAAGGCAGACCACCCCTCTGAAACCTGCTCTGGCTTTGGTGCACATCAAGCCTGTGCATAGAGACCCACAAAACCTTTAAGGGAAGGGTGGGGATCTATGGCCCTCCAGATGTTGTTGAATTACAACTCCCATCATCCCCAAGCACTGGCGTTGAGAGCCCAACCACATCTACAGAGAGCCATCGCTTGAGAAGTAGTAAATCACACTGTGCAAATTGGAGTGAAGTCTTTATTAGCAAAGACATGATCAACACAGGAGTGTCAGGCCTAATGAGCCCAGCAACTTAGTTCCACTAGGTCTTGCCTCTATGAAGCAGTTGCTGAAACTGAAGGTCCCTGCCTCTCCATAGCTGCCTAAGTCTTCCTCCTCTCCAAAAAATGTTCCAAGCAATCAGAGACTGCATCTATGCATCAGTAATCTCTCTTCAGCCCTTTTCATGCCTCTGGGAGACAAAGGGAAGGGGAACTTGTTGCAGGAGGGCGATAAACCTGTGACTCTTCCCCAACCTGACTCATCTCTGCCTCTTGGCCTCCCTCCTCTCCTGCATCAGCTTCTGCCTCTGATTCTGGCCTTCTCTCTGCCACGGACTCTCCCAGCTCACTAAGCCCTGTTGCTCCTTCAGCTTCTGACACCTCCTCCCCACAGTCTTCTCCCTCTGACCGCTCATCGTCATCCTACCAACATTCCCTGAGCTCCGAGACTTCTTCCCCTGGGGGTTCCCCAGCTGGTTCCTCCCACCATTCCTCTGCATCCAACCAATCCATGACGCATAGGTCCCGTTTCTCCTCTCAGGCAATGCCATCAACACGCTTGAATTACACGCCGGCAGCACTACAGCTGCATTATCAACTAGTCTAACCTAGTCCAGCACGGATTTCCCAATATAAATGGGCTGCGTGGACGTGATGGAGATGCAGCGGTGACAGAATTGATACCGCGTGCCAGATCTTCTCCAAGCAAGCGTCTGCTCAGGTGGCAAGATAAATGTTAGGAGTAAGCCACACATTTGTTTATCCCCAATCAGCCTACATAACGTTCAGGCAAGGCTTGGTACTTAAACTACTCTTGAAGTGTCCACCACAATCAACACCCTTTATATCCGACCGTCCACTGAATGGACAAGCTACCACCAATGAACATGCTGCATCTGATTTTTGATGGCATTTAGCCACCTGTGTCCTGAACCATTGCTCCCTGCTCCATCTTATCTGGCATGCAGAGTTTCCTGGGTTCAATCCCCAGCAGCTCCAGGTAGGGCTAGGAGGGACTCCCTGCCAGAAATCCTAGATAATTCCAGATGGGCCAAAGCTCTGACTCATTTCAGTATAAGGTAGCATCCTATATGAAAGCCAGTGTGGTGCAACAGGTAGGGTGTTGGGCTGGGATCTGCAAGGCCAAGGTTCAAATACTCACTTGGTAATTAATAATAATAATAATAATAATAATAATAATAATTGGCAAGCTCAATGAGGCTCAGTGGTTTAGACTACAGCGCCACCCACCTCCCTAATAATAATAATATTTATATGCTGCCCATCTGACTGGATTGCCTCAGCCACTCTGGGTGGCTCCCAACAAAATATTAAAAACACAATAAAGCATCAGCCATTAGAAACTTCCCTTAACGGGGCTGCCTTCAGATGGGGAGTGGGAGAACCATATGCTTTGAGCTCCTTAGAGAAAAAGATGGGATATAAATGCAATAAACAGTAATATATTTAAGATGAAGCTTTCAGTCCATAGCTGCTGAACATGGATACAGTCGTACTTGGTTGCTGAATGCAATGGAAATCCTATGTTTCAGCTCCAGAACGATCGAAAACGGGGAGTGAGTGTTCCGGTTTCTGAACGATTTTCGGAAGCCGAACGTCCAGCACGGCTTCCGACTGGCTGCAGGACGCTCCTTGGTTTTCAAACAGTTCTGGAAGTCGAACGGATTCCCGGAACGCATTCTGTTCAAGAACCAAGGTACGACTGAATTCTAATTCAGGCTAAGTCACCAAAGCACCTTGGTAGGCTTTCAAGGAGAACAGGTTGCACCACCACATGTCAGAGGTACTTTAGGAACAGAATACTGCCAAACTGGGTTCCATAATCAAGAAGACCATATTAAGAATGGTGGGGTTCCTACTCACTACCATTTCACTACAATGGACCCCTTCATACAGATTTCCAAGGCTGGGCTGCAGCTTACGAGATCCTGCATACAGAGCGTATTCTGCACTCGACAGGATCTCGCTGCAGCCAGACAGATTCCCAGACACACGCCCATTCACAGCTGCCAAGAATAAAGCAGATTCCAACACAAAGACCAAATAGCACTGACATCAGATCTGTAAGTTTATTTGCTCAATGTACGACGGCTACATAATGACTCACATTCATGATATTCCATCACTGAGGAAAACTGCTAAGAATGGTCCGTGTGTGAAATAATTCCTTACAGAAACACGGAGTTGGAAAAATAATCACTGATTAGACCTTAAAAAGAGTTCACTGCATAACATGACAGAAAAGCACAAACAAAGGCTCATTCGAAGAACATAGTCATTTTTCCCCTACACTGTAATAGTTATAATTTCACCATGACGAACACCAGACATTAAGATTAAGCTAACACTGGTGTTTTCTTTTGCTTTCCTTTTTTTAAAAAAAATCATATATAATTGCATGTCACTATAGCAACATCCATAACAGATCAGTTTTGTTACGATCACTATTTGGTAGAGCAAACTTTTACCCCCAAAAAAGGAAGGGAAAAAAATAGGAGGAAAAAAAATAAATTAAAAAACTTTAAAAAATTGTTGAAGACTATTTGTCATAGGAATACATAACATCTACAGTATAAGTTAATAAATTTCAAGCTACTTTATAGAAATACAACACCAGCATGCACAATATTGTATCAATAGAATAATGGAGCAGTTATTCATTTCACTGGAGAGACAGTTATCATATAGGCAAGTGCATTTCCTTAACAAAACAAAACAAAACAAATCGAAAGAAACCATTCAAGCTGCTCACAATTCCCCACCCCACCCGCGACTCCATAGGTTTTAGCCCTCTTGTGCGATCTTTTCCCCCCTGCATAAAGTTTTCCTAAAGCAGCCAGAGCAAAAATAAAAAATAAAAATCATCATCATCATCATCATCATCATCAAGAAAAGGTTTTGTAATTCCAGTAAATCATTTCCAATTCAAAGCCAGGGAGACACACTGCTCACACTACATGATTGCAAACCAAACAGAAGCCTAAACACGGCCTCCAAAGTAGTCTTGCGACATTTCCTAAAAGGTTCCCGTCCGTTTACCCAGGTTGCAAGCCTCTCCCTCCTCTACTTCGATCCCACAGAACGTAAGATAAGCCATGGGATTTTGGCGTGGCTCTTTCCCCGAGGTGGCTCAAAAGAATATTAATAATAATAAAAAAGTCACCGAGTGCAAACTCTCACAATGCAACAAAAGTTTTGTTTTTTTTATGCAGCTGCTTGGATACTTTAATGCTGGACTTGCTAGCGTTTTGCCTGTTGTCAATTTGCTTTTAAACCCAGACAGCCTTTGGGACTCGCAGGCCACCAAAGCAGCTCACCCCCACTGCCCAAAGCATCAAACAACGTGAGCACAAAAAACCACACAGCACTGTGTCAAATGGAGTCATTCATCTCCGCAAGGGGAAGACAAATGGTGTTGCACAGGGGAAGGCCCCATTAGAGGCCATTCTCCTTCTATGCAGCCCCTGATGGACAAAAGCAGGCAACCAGAGAAGGAAAACCATCAATCTATTTTCTCTCTTTTCAAAAAAAAGGTGGGTGGGTAGAAAAATGACAGAAAATGACTTGATTAGCTACCATAATTTTCTATTTTTTTTCCTTCAGGGAACCTGTATGTGAACGGATTCTCTATAAGTTCTAGAGTGCCTAAGGGTTTTTTTGGGGGGGGGGGTGTTTTTTAAAAACAAACGAACACTGGCAAGCAAGCTCTCTTTATGAAATTACTACAATTCCACATCATTTCACTTCGTACCACAGGCTTCCCACAGATCGGAGACCCGGCTTTAGTAAAGGGGCAGGCAGAGATCTGCCATAATCTTCTGGCACAGAAGGGGGGGGGGGGAATCAGGTTATAAGCACTACGGCAGCATGATTCCTGCAGAATCTTGCACCTTCGCCTTCTTCCTTTTTTTAAAAAAAGGAAGAAGTCAGCATGGTCTTGGAATATACCAGGTACAGTATGAGGCATAGAGACCTGAATTAGTCAAATTACATTACAGTTCAGCAGCTCCTCCTTTGACCAATTATATTATGAACACTTCTTGATGGGGGCGGCCTCTTGGGACTTTATACCCAACAGAACGGCCAACAGAAACAGATGGATGTTCTTCAGGTGGCCTTTGGGCAACTGGGGAAACCGAGTCGGGTGGGGGAAGCCCATCTGCAGGTGTTAAGGTTGCAAGGGAGATGGCAAGCCAGAAAAAGCAAGCAAAAAAAAGGTTTACACTCAATGGCTCGGTGTCAAAAATATGGCTGTCATGTAGAAAACACTGTTAAAACTGCAATTTAGCAATAATACTGAAAGCTGTCTCAAGCATCCTGACTAGATGGGCTCTTGCGGGTTTGGAGCCTAGGGCTTTCCTCCCGCTTTGAAATTATGCTGTAGTGAGCGTTCCAAAAGTTCGGGGCAGATATCAGAGAGGAGACACACACAGATGCACCTCGACAACGGAAAAGGCAGGGGACATTTTAACTCGGGGGACAGACGGATGGGAAACCTTACTGGAACCACAGAACTGCTTCTCTCAAACGAACACACGCACACACACACGCATACACACACAAAATTAAACCCCAACAACGAAAGAGAGGGCCATTCCATCCAAGTTAGTCATCGTCAACTTCCACGTACGCCTAGCGATTAAGATAACTTAAAAGACAGCTCCCCCTTGAATTAATAAGTCTACAGAACAGTCCATTCGCCATTGTGAGGCTGCCACAATCGAGTTACTCCATTCCACCCAAGCACAGCCAAGCCTGACCTTTCCCGCTAAGTTGTGTTTTGGCAAAAGTGTCAAAAGAGGCAATCAAAGACAGGTTGCGGGGGGAGCCTCCCTGGAAGGTCGCCCCTCCTTTTTGTGTTTTGTTTTTGTTTTTGTCCCCCTCCCCCACCCGACCCCTTCCCCCCCACACCTCGTGGGAAAACAAAATTAAAGACTGCAGTAGTAGCATCAGCGTGCGGCTGCCAGTCCATCCGGAGGGGGGGGCGGGGTCCTAGTTGTTGCCTTCGCCACCGTCGTCGTCCTGCTGGTCGCTTGTCCAGAGCGTTAGGTTATCGCGCAGGAGCTGCATGATGAGCGTTGAGTCCTTGTAGGAGTCCTCGTTGAGGGTGTCCAGCTCGGCGATGGCGTCGTCGAAGGCCGTCTTGGCCAGGTGGCACGCCTGCTCGGGGGCGTTCTGGATCTCGTAGTAGAAAACAGAGTAGTTAAGCGCCAAGCCCAGGCGGATGGGGTGAGTGGGCTGCATGTGTTCCTTGCTGATCTCGTGGGCTTCGCTGTAGGCCTTCTCGGAGGACTCCACCACCGTCGCCCTCTTCTCCCCCGTGGCCACCTCGGCCAGGTAGCGGTAATAGTCCCCTTTCATCTTCAGGTAGAAGACTTTGCTCTCGTACTGGGTCTCGCTGCAGTTCTTGATCAGGTAGTTGTCGAGCAGGCTGAGCACGTCCTGGCACACGGCCTCCAGCTCCTTCTCGATCTTCTCGCGGTAGGCCCGCACCATCTCGATCTTCTTCTCGTTGCCGTCGGCCGAGGTCTTCTGCTCGATGCTGCTGATGACCCTCCAGGAGGAGCGCCGGGCCCCCACCACGTTCTTGTAGGCCACCGACAGCAGGTTCCTCTCTTCGTTGGACAGGGGCTCGTTCAGCTCCGTCACCTGCACCAGAGAAGGGAGGACACAACAAACAGGCCCAGTTAGCCTCTGGTCCCCACACTTGAACCTGCCGCTTTCCAAAGCTCGCTCCTGCTCTATGGGAAAGTCTTTCACCGGCTCCCCCCAGCAGAAGATGTCATCTTAAACGCCCCATACCTAGGTTGCTGCCTCATCTTTAACAGAACAGGATGGAACTGGAGGGGAGGGAAGAGAGGAATTGGGAAGAATACAGGGGGTCAAAAAGCTGTTAAGAGATCTAGGAATGATCTGTCAGGTACTCGGATACACAAGCAACAGCTGACTCCAACTGGAAGTTTTTAAAAAGCAGAAAGCCACACTAGTAGCTATTAAGTTTACTTGCCTGACATGAGGATTTCTGCATTTGCCATCTTTTATTCCCCATCCATCCCTCCAAAAAGAAAGAAAGAGTACAGAAGAGGGCTGGGCAATATATCAATTTATCATCCAAAACCAGTTTAAAGTCCATATTGTGATATCAGTTTCATAATTTTTTACCTGGCAATATATTGTGAATCATGGTGTGTGTGTGTGCGCGCGCACGCACGCGCGCACTATGCAAAAATCACAATGCAGGAAAAACCATGAAGCCAGCCAATGCCTCTACAGAGCATAATCCTTATTTCAGACATCATGATATATCAATATATGGCAATGTTTAGCCCAGCCCTGGTACAGAACACTACATCCTGCAAGAGATGTGACCATGACCTAGAGCATTTGGAGGATAGAGGACACTACAAATACAGCCTTCAGAAGGGCAACCAAATTTAATTTTAGGGTTAGGAGGGATGACTTCCAGCACACTCCTTTATGTGAATAAGGCGGCACACATTTTAAAGAGCTGCCAGTAGCATGAGGCTGTAGGCGGGACTCATTTCAAAACAATGCCTGGCTGCTGTCTTGTGCTGGGACATGACATTTGCATTATGGGTTGGTGGAGGACAAGGACTGCCATCAACGTACACTCCAGCTGCCTACTGCACTTCCCCTAACAAACCCTGCCTTGCTGGTCACAGAAGAATCACATTTTTGTTTCGAGGGATCAAGAAGAAAGAAAAGCCATCAGAAACAATGATCAGCTAACAAACCTAGCCAAGCAATTGAATCATAGAACTGTAGAGTTGGAAAGGACCCTGAGGATCATCAAGTCCAACCCCTGCAATGCAGAGGTCCTGTACGGGGATTGAACCTGCCACCTTGGTGTTAACTACACCACACTCTCACCAACTGAGTCAATATCTGTAGACCCAAGATATGGGAAAGGGGGAAATAGAGGATGAAAGTTAACTGATCCATAAAATGTTTTAATGGGGGGTCCTTGAAGGGACACAAAGGCAGTCCAGAACTATAGGACTCAGGCTTGAAAGTAGGTTGCTGAAATTTTTTTAAAAAACAGAAACAAAAAAACAGCCATGGCAAGTATGGGAGGGGGGTGGAGATACAGGAAAGAAGCCAGCAAGCAGGCACAAGGATAGGCAAATAGGTTGAGAGATTGGGTGTGTTCGAGATAGGATGAATGTTGGAATTTGAGGGGACGGTGAAGCCACTGATTTTTAAGTTGCCCTTCATAGCATAGTTCGAGGAATGCTGTTGTTTGTTGTTGTTTTATTAAAAAAAAGAAGCCAACATTTGAGATGTTCAGGCTGCCAGATCCTACACTAGAAGGATACTGTGTTGACTACGTTGCAGTCAAAAACGCTTTCTTGACCCCAAGTAAAGCGAGGGACAGGGAGTTGAATTCATCATCTGCAGCTTGCTGGAGCTTAAGCAGCAAGATGCCCGAGACAACTTTTCACCTAAGCAATGGTGCTCGTGCTGTAACAGGCAGCTCCCAGAGTAAAATGCCTGGCACCCTTCATTAATGCAACAAAACCCTGCAAGAGCCCTTCCGGAAATTCACCAGCCTGCACACGGCACCAGCTCTGAGCTGCTCACTAGGCTGCCATCCCTCCAACGCCTTCAGGAATCTCAGGTCGCTCACAGAAGGCGCGTTTAGTGGGCACTGCAGCGCGCAGAGATAACTTGGCAGCACCGAGTCAAGGTTGCATGTACTTCCTCTCGCAATCGGGCGCAGACATCAGCAGAGGCAGGCAGCAGGCTGCAGCCTCCAGCAAGAGCACGGAGATAGGATCTCAGTGGTGACAAGGCAAATAAATGGGAGATCATATTTAAGAATGTCACTCTGCCCCTCCAGTAATTCTGCACACAGCATCACTCTATTTCGGGCCATGAAGCAATTAAACCTTTGCGATAATTTGGTTCAGACAGCGCTGCAGAAAGCTATTTAGAGCTCGTTGGGTTTTATTTTAATTAGACAGCCTTAAAGCCATGCTTCAAGGGGACATCGCCTCTTGGCAGTTAACCTGGTCAAAAAGCAAAATGTGGGCATCTCTGCAGCCTGGAAAAGGACATTTTAGGTGTGGCGAGTTTTACATGAAGCAGTCTTTCCCACTTTGGAGACCCCTGAAAGATCCACGGTCTCCTGATCTTCAGGGACAACGTAGAAGGTCACAGCCATATTCCAAAAGTGAGTCCAAGGCACAGGCTATTAGTGGTAGCACCTCCAGCTAGCCGCTTGTTCTGGGTACCATCTAGACTACTTGAGAATATGTGCCACAATGGCCTCCCTGGAAACAACTGCAAAATCTGAATAAGTTTTCTTCTTAGCTTGAAGCAGGAACTTAAATCTGCAGCTCCTTAAAGCTGGACAGCAGCAACTGGGCCGCAGAGATTTGTTTCGTAATTGCATTTTATTTATTGAACAGGATTCATAGAATGCTTGATCATCCTTAACTTCCAAGAGATTTACAAAAAATATAAAATGTTCATTAAAAAGACTGGGGTGGGGGGAGAAACCAACCATTAAAAGCAAGTTAATCTAAAATGTATCAAAATAATAATAAGTAAAATAACCAGCAGCTATTAAGTATGTATATAATAGAATACAATTACATGTTTAAATCACAGCATGTTCAAATTATGCAGGGTTAATTTGTGTTGCCTTCGGGTTATTACAAAGTGTGGCTGTTTTCCAGTTGTATTCATAGTGGCGGTTCTCGTAATGGTTTATCCGTTCAGAGAAAAAGCAAATATGAGGTGACATGATAGAAGGTTATAGAATCATGGCATGGAGAAAGTGGATAGAGGAATGTTTTTCTCGCTCTCTCCCAACACTAGAAGAACTCATAGACATCCGACGAAGCTCAATGTTGGAAGACTCAGGACGGACAATAGAAAGCGCTTCTTAGCACAGCTAAATTATGGAACTTGCAACCACAAGAAGCAGGGATGGGCTACCAACTTGGATGGATTTAAAAGAGGATTATACAAATTCATGGAGCAAAGAGCTATTGGTGGCTAAAAGGCCACCATGGTTATGCTCTGCCTCCACAGCTGGAGGCGAAAATTCTGCTGGAAACCAGTTGCTGGAAACCACTGGAGGGGAGAGGGGACTTGTGCTTGGGTTTTCCCACTGACCACTGTGAGAACAGGATGCTGGACTATTAGGGCCTTTGGTCTGTTCTAGCAGGCCCTAACAATGTTCCTAATAAAACTTACATCTAATACCCACAGGAAAGAATGGCTCTCGGCATACAGGTAACTGACTCCCTGGCAATGGAGGTTGCCGGGTTCTACAGCTGACAGCAGGTTTGAGATGTCACAAAGGAGAAAGCATCAAGGCAACCCCACCCTATGAACCCTTCAGTAACCTATGAAAGGGCAGGAGCCCAACCGCCTATAGCCTGTCCCAAAGTTTTCATGGTGCAGCTGAAGAGAGATGCACACCACATGTACCTCTCGCTGTTCTTGCTACCATATTCTCCTAAGCAAAATCGTGTCTTGTCTCCGCAAGCAGTAGGGTCAGTGTTAGATCCACAAAGTGGCATGGAGGCAGCATTCAAGTGCGAGATTCAGATTGCCAGTTCATGTGGAAAAGGCTTCAAGTTTTCTTCCACTGCCTACCGCCTTAATAAGTACATGCACTGTCTTGAAATTCATATTATCTAGGATTAGACAAGCCATTCATCATCTGCTCCACAAGCCCTCGGAAGGCAACCTTGCTCTCATTCACATCGGTGAAATTAAATCTGTTCATTTTCTCACACCAGCCATATTTCATAAGCCAGTGTCAAAGCTTCACAACAGACTGTGTGCTTGAGCATTCTGACCACCACCACCCTGGCCTCCTTTCTCTACCCATAACTGCGAGGCAGCCACTGGAAAAATTGTGTTAAGGGAATCTTGGCACAGAGGCAAGGACTGTGCACATTAATCCACTGGATTTCATTTTACATAGGGAGAGCACTGGAATGAAGGTAAATGTCTAACCAACAAAAGAGGAATGTGAAGACAGGTGGAAGCACACATGGTTTGGTTGCTGCCACCAAATCCATATCTTTGGAAGGCAGGCAGCAACCTTGTGACTTTGTGCTGAGTTTAGAAGAAGAGGAGTTTGGATTTGATATCACGCTTTATCACTACCAGAAGGAGCCTCAAAGCGGCTCACAATCTCCTTTCCCTTCCTCCCCCACAACAAACACTCTGTGAGGTGAGTGGGGCTGAGAGACTTCAGAGAAGTGTGACTGGCCCAAGGTCACCCAGCAGCTGCATGTGGAGGAGCGGGGAAGCGAACCCGGTTCACCAGATTATGAGTCTACCGCTCTTAACCACTACACCACGCTGGCTCTTTTGGTTTCCAGGACCCAAAAATGCATACTGAGCAAGCTGCAACCTCCCCGCAGGCAAGGGCAGCATAGGCAAGGGAAGGATCTTCTAAGTAAGAAGCTCCACTGCTTTGCAAGGATTTGGCTTGTGGATGCTGCACCTGTCTGCATCTTCAAAAGTTACCCCTTTCGATCTCTCTGCAGCAGCCATTTTTGCCCACACTATTTAGACACGCTATTGTTGCTAGAGAACACAAGCCATCTTCAGCGGAGCCTTTCCTGAAGGCATTCTGCCTAACAATGCTGTAAGCCCAAGGAAAGACTTGTGTCACTTCTGTCTCCTAAAAAGGGGCCAGGATGCAGATGGCATCAAATCTGTAGATGGCAGCAGTGGGGACTTCCAATTCATAGGCTACTGCCAGTGAAATTTCATTCAAGGGACAGATGGATTTCAAGCTAGGCACCCAATGGCACCTTAAACCTAGGTTACGCTTGCCACAACAGAATGTCTTTTTTTTCAGGGGCTGGACTAAATGACCCTTGGGGTCCCTTCCAGCACTGTGATTCTACAATTCTATGATCTCAACTACACTGCAGGACTGTAGCTTGCTCTTACAACTATTCACTTGTGCTGGTATGCAAGAAGTAGAAATGGAAATGGTATTAGCTATATGAACAAAGGCAGAGGTTTTTAAAACTGTGATCACCAACCTGGTGCCCAGAAATCTCCACGTAGTCACAATTGGACCCACGCCAGTTGGACCTACTGCAAAACGCACCTGGAGAATTTCGGACATTGATTTCAAGGTATCACTTTCATCAGCCACAAACAGCTTCGATTACATGTGCCTTTTCCTCATAGTAAAAGGATAGGTCTACATAATGTAGAAATTGTAGTTCTGAAGTTCTCCATGAGCATAAGGTAAAGGGACCCCTGACCATTAGGTCCAGTTTTGGCCGACTCTGGGGTTGCAGCGCTCCTCTCGCTTTATTGGCCGAGGGAGCCGGCGTACAGCTTCCGGGTCATGTGGCCAGTATGACTAAGCTGCTTCTGGCGAACCAGAGCAGCGCACGGAAACGCCGTTTACCTTCCCGCCGGAGCGGTACCTATTTACCTACTTGCACTTTGACGTGCTTTCAAACTGCTAGGTTGGCAGGAGCAGGGACCGAGCAAAGGGAGCTCATCCCGTCATGGGGATTCGAACCGCCAACCTTCTGATCGGCAAGCCCTAGGCTCTGTGGTTTAACCCACAGCGCCACCCGCGTCCCTCTCCATGAGCATAAAGGTGCTCTTAATACTATCAGCTACGCCAAATGCATCCTAGATCCAACCCCCTTCATTGCACTTTGATGGAACACCCAGCTACAAGCTAACAAAATGTTGGGTGCCCCTGATGCAGAAGTTATTGGGGGGGATCATGCAGGATATAAGTTGCTACAGCCATATGGCATCAGAATGTGCAGCCCTGTTAGATCAGGCCAAAACTTCCTGTTCTCACAGTGGCCAAATAGATGTCATAATTCCAAGCAACTGCTATTCAGAGGCATTATGCCTCCGACAGTGAAGGAATACCATGGAGAATTGGGCTATCAAGTTACTAGTCATGATGGCTGTTGGAGCCTGATCTACAGTGGTACCTTGGATCCCGAACAAATCATCTCCCGAACGCCGCAAACCCGGAAGTGCTCCAGTTTGCGAACGTTTTTTGGAAGCCGAACGTCTGACATGGCTTCGAACTGAGTGCAGGAAGCTACTGCGGCCAATTGGAAGCCATGCCTTGGTTTTCGAATGGTTCCGGGGGTTGAACAGACTCCCGGAACAGATTTAAGTTCCGACAACCAAGGCACCACTGTATTATAATCAGAGCCAGGCGAGAATGGCTTTGCTCAGATAAAACATAAAACACTGAACTTTGGCTCTGCATTCTGTGAACAAACCACAAACTCCCCCCCCCCCCCCGATTTCCCTCTGGCATGAAAATTGGGAAGCTTTCCCACTTCGAGTTTTAAAGTAACTGTGGTTTATTGCTACGTCTTAACCCAACGGTTAGCCTTAACTACAGTTTAAGGAAACAAACCAACTTCAAGCTGCAGTTCATGGCTCCCTAAACCATACTTAAGCTAACCAGTTTCTGGTTCAGATGCACTTATAAGGCATGGTGAATAGATAATGGAATAAAATGTTTCCAAGATCCTCCTTGTGGCCATACCAGAGTGGAAGAGGGGAGAACATGTGCCCAAGATTTGAGCAGCCAACACTCAGTTGGTAGAGCAGGAGCCTCTTAACCTCAGGGTTGTGAGTTTGAGTCCCACATTAGATAAAAAACTGATTGCAGTTTAGCTTCACATCAGAACTCAACTCCCTTTGAAGGTCCAGGAACACCAGTGACCTCTGCCTGGTAGAACACTCTGGGAGCGGAAGATAAACCCATCGAGAAATTAAAGCGCAGCTCTGTTTTCTCCAAAAATAATAACAATGCTATTCTGCATCAGGCAGGTAACTGCATGACTGGGATGTCTCTAATGCTCTGCATGTTCACTGGCAAATAAAGTCCCACAAAGCAGGGAGACCTCTGGTGCTTTTTTGTTGAGTCAGGATAAAAAACATACCAGACAAGTAGCTTTTCCAATCAGCAGTTTAGCTTCAAACCATAATACAGTCATACCTCGGGTTGCAAACGTGATCCGTGCGGGAGGCCAAACTGCAGTGACGCAATTTGGCGCTTCTGCGCATGCACGTGACGTCATTTTGTGCTTCTGCACATGCACCAAAACCCGGAAGTAACCTGTTCCGGTACTTCCAGGTTCGGTGCGGTCCGCAACCCGAAAACACGCAACCCGCAGCGTTCGTAACCCGAGGTATGACTGTACTGAACATACTAAAGCTTTAAGGACCGGTTGAGAAACGGCCAAGCCTGGCATCCTACTCTGTGTAACTGAGTATCTCTCAAGAGCCCAACATGATGGTCTGATGCTAAGCCTGTCATAGAGATACAGTTACCAGCCCCCTTTCAAAGGGATTTCTGCTCTAATTTCAGGAACTATTAAAGTTGCAACTGCCTAATCCTACTCTTCCCCCAGACAAATCAAGGAGGGATCAGTCTTGGGAGTTTTAGTGTAACTAGCCAGAGTACAGTTATAGTCAATTCACCTCCACCAGAACTTCAAAAGTTCTCTCCACCTGTTCAAGTGCTTCATGCAAAGTTTCTTGATGGCCTTTCTTTTTGGGAAAGCCTCAAGACTTTGGCAGGACATTAAGTTCACTCACATTCTGTAAAAAGTTTTGAATGAACTGTTTTAAAGTAGGCAAAGCAAATGGAATAACTGCAACCTTTGCCGTTGATAATCTATGGAAGGAGGCGCTGCCACCGTGTGAGGGAGAGGGAAGGAGAGGGAAAGAACACGCGCTGGAGATCCACGTGGTGATTCGCGGGCCAGATCCAGAAGGCAACTGGGCATGATCCGGTCCGTGGGCCTTAGTTTGCTGACCCATGGTCTGGGCATTTATGCTGGAGAAAATAAGAATGTAAGAAAAGCCATTTGGATCAAGCCAGTGGCCCATCGATTCCCACATCCTGTTCTCACAGTGGCTGACCAGATGCCTGTAGGAAACCCACAAGCGGGATCTGAGCACAAGAGCCCCCTCCCCTCCTGTGGTTTCCAGCAACTGTCCTTCAGAAGCATTGATGCCTCCCATTGCGGAGGCCGGGCACAGCCTTCATCATGGCTAGACGTTATCAATGGCCTTCTCCTCCATGACGGATGTCCAACCCTCTTTGGAAGCCATCCATGCCACCTGTGGGAGCGAGCTCCATCGTTTTAACAATGCGCTGAATGATAAAAACTCAGCTTTGCTGCCTTTTGCACACACCCACTCTATTATTATTATTATTTTAAATTTCTATACCCCTCTTCATCAGAGGACCCCAAGACAATTTACAATATAAAAACACAAAAATACGTTATAATAATAATAATAAATTTTATTTATATCCCGCCCTCCCCAGCCGAAGCCGGGTTCAGAGCGGCTAACAACATTAAAATGATACAACATTCTAAAATCATTTCATTATAAAATCAAGTCAAAACATAATAACAAAACAATGACACACACACACACACAGAGCACAGGGAGGACTATATGCACACCCAAAGCAGGCGACCCAATAATTATGGAGTTAACTGGTCCACAATATAAACAGGGGGCTTTTGCATTTTAAGTTAATCAGTGGGTACCAATAACTTGCACCCACTGGAAACCAAGCCTTATGAGGAGCGCTTGAAGGAGTTGGGTGTGTTCAGCCTGGTAAAGAAGAGATTGAGAGGAAATACGGCAACCATCTTCCAATATCTTAAGGGCTGTCACGTGGAAGATGGAGCAAGCTTCTTTAGTCCTGCTCCGGAGGGTAGGAGTCAAAACAATGGCTTAAAGTTACAAGAAAGGAGATTCTGACTAAACATTAGTTAGAACTTTCTGCAGTAAGAGCTGTCTGACAGTGGAATGGGCTCCCTCAGGAGGTTGCGGACTCTCCTTCATTGGAGGCTTTTAAGTAGAGGTTGGATGGCCATCTGTCATGGATGCTTTAGCTGAGATTCCTGCACCGCAGGGGGTTGGACTAGATGACTATTGAGGTCCCTTCCAACTCTACAATTCTATGATCCTACCATCTTTACAGCCTTCCGCTTCATTAGGTTTCGCATCCACGCACCTAGGGGCTGGCACCATAGGCAAGACTTATTATTACGGCCTGCTGTGCTACATCTGTCAATTTGAGAAGGCCGTTCCTCTGCACTATGTTATACGAAGAGATAGTTGTATAAAAGCAGGTGAGTGTTAATTCACTGGCAACAGAATGATGCAACGGCAAAGCTGAAGTCTCACATGATCAGAGAAGCTCAAAGGAGTACAAGCACACAGTCAGAGGGTGGTAATTAACAGCAATTAATATTTCCTGTAGTCATTTTGCTTTTGTTATTCTAACCTGAGTTCCTACAGCAAATGATTCCCCCACACTGGATATGACCATGTTTTAAGGCTCTTGCAGCTTGCCGCAAGCACATTCTTAGAATCAAGTGTTTTTAGGAGAAAAGACAGCGTGCTTTTGGGAGTTCCTGTTCCACCTCAAGATCACCATTCCTAGAAAACACTGAGGGCCTCTGGCACAGTTACTATCTTTGTTCAAAGGGGCAGAAATGCGCTCATGACAGAAAACCAACATCTGAAGAACTTATGAGTAGGCGCAGGAATGAGTCAGACCCGAGCATGCCAATGATTCCATCAGAGGGGATGAGTAATTTTAATAGTTCTCTCCCTGAATGAAAAAACTCCAATCAATTAGAACAATTGTAACCTATTCGTATTAAGTGACAATTCCCGTGCTAATTAGTGTTGCATTGTCCTACAAGATCGCAAATGCAGATCTCGGTTGCTTAAATCAAAGCCCATTCCCGATTCAGAAATCTTGAAGATATGTTCTTTCCTAAGCCGAGGGCTGCTCCCTCACATTGGTTGCCATACTGAGACAAGTGCTTGTGCATTGAGCACAGCTACTGTCTACTACCGCTTGAGTTTTTCTAGACAAAATTCCCTCTCTGCCCTCTTGAGATATGCAGGTCAAAATTTCCTTCATGCATAACATGATTTGGGCAATGGCTCTTACTTTCACTGCTACTTTTCATGACAAATATCACAGAAAGGGCAAGTAAACATCTCATGGTCTTCATCATTCTCTTCTGGTGGATGGGATGAAGGATACCCCAATTTATCCAATTAATTCCAAGAGAGGCTGCATCAAGCAGAGTCATCTAATGAATTTTGTAGTGAAGCAGTTAACTGAATCAAAGTCGCCCCGACTAAATCTGACTCTAATCCACTAAACCACAAATGTAACTAGTGGATAATGAATATATTACTGAACACTTCTTAGATATTTAACCATTAACTAATGAGCACGCGAATTTGACTTAGTGAGTACATTAAATAAAATATTTGGAAGCTTGCCTGAACAGAGAAGTGCCTTGTCTCAATTTCGAAAGTTCAGAACCAAGGAAAAATGAATCATGACATGCAGGTGTTTATTGCTTGGGAAGAATGAAGTTTTTTGCCTTTGCAAATGGAAGAGGTGAAGCTGAATTTAATGCAGGTCAGAGCAGGAACCCTCTTCTAAACCTGCAAATTATATGCATCTCTATCACTTAACTGACAGAAGTCCCATCCTCTAAGACTTCATTCTGAAGTTAGTCAGTTATCCAAACTTAGACCTTGATTCACTGCTCTAGGAACCCATCCCATGGTATTTAATGGCATCTGATCTACCCTACCCAACCCAGAATTCTATATGACCTCACACTGAGAGCATTAATTTGGGAACTGCTAAAGGGTTAGAGGCCTAATTTTCCAGAAACACTGGCAGCAGAAAGAGCATTCTGAGATTTGAGGAAAACAAAATTGAAGTTGGCAGTGAATTGAAATACTCAACATCAGAGTATTTCAATATCCTCTGGACTCTTGAATGTAAAAAAGTAATTGCTCCAAATTCAGCTTGCAGCTATAAGACACACCCACCTTATTTAAGAACAACGGGGTACTTGGCTGTTTGATTTCCTCACGCTTTTAGGTGTTTATTTACCAGGCTATGAAATGTTTTAAAACCAGAAAACATGCAAAGTCGGCCTTTAAAATGCTGTAGTGGCTTTATGTTGTTTGCTAGCTGGGAATTTAGTGTGGCTTATTTATTATTATTTATTTTATATTTTTATATACACTGCTTAATACCAAAACATGCTAAGCAGTCAACAAAGAGAGGGGACAACAATGAAAGCCTAACAGGCAAGAAATTCCAAGAAATGTAGCTACACTTCAGAGAAACACCCACCTTTTAGCCTGGACCTCTGGAAAGTGAGAAGAATGCTCTACCTACCAGTGTTTCTAGTGTCACTCCTCTGGCCAACTACCAAGGATTGGGCCACTGTAGCACACTTTACATTTTCTCCCCCTTGAAAGTGTTCAGAAGCTAGCCTAAGACACAGCCAGCTTGTCTGAAGGAACATCTCAACTTGATAGGAAATAACCAGGGTGACAGCAGACCATACATACTCCTGCCGTATGAGCTCTCTGGGTGCCAACCCCTCACAAGGTGTCAGAAACCAATTATTATTAAGGGTCTTCTTAGGAGCAATTCTGAATTTCCTCCCAAGGGAGATTCCTGAATTTCCTTCCAAGGTTCATCACTGTTCATGATTCCACGAAACGGACCAAGACATTCCCTTGCATCATCAAAAGTCTTCATAAGGAGCTGAATCTTGTCAGCTGACACTGCTATTCTGCAATGTTACTGTACTGTACATTTACAGAAACCTGCAGACAATGTATGGTTAGTTATCCATTACAGGGAGGCCCAGCCTCCTCATTTCTGCTGTTCTGCAGCTCCCAACTATGTGACCTTCTCCTCTCCTGCCATTTCCCACCCCAAACCTTCTCTTCCACCCCAGTCATCTCCCCTCTTCCCAAATTTTTCTTATGCTCACCTGCTTTCACTGGCCAGCTGCCTTCAAGACCCTGCCTCTTCCTTTACTATTCACACAGAGGTAGGGAAAAGTGTTTTTTTATGACTACATTTTTTTTTTTACTGCTACAATTTTCCGCAGAAAGCTTTCAATTTCTTTAAAAAAAAAAAAAAAGTTTCATAAAATTCATTTGACTCACAGTTTACCTGTAAATCAGGGGGCAGACACCAAATAAGAGTAAAGGTACGGCATATAATAATTTAAATAGCTGTCACAGCACAATTTTGCATTGGCTTGTTTTTACTGTATTACCATTCGTCTATTTGGGACATTCTTGAGGAGGAACCCCCCCCCATGTACAAATGAATGCCCCAATTCCACCATTCCTACAAGGACTATCTGCTTATTGGCAACATCGAAACGATCACCAACAGTACAAAGGTGTCTCACGATTGGTCAGCATCACATGGTTAACAAGATTGGTGTGGAACTTTCAGCCTGAGAAGAATACACTGTTCTGCACTAAAAACCCCGTCACTTTTTCTTTAAAACAATACCTCTTAAGTTATTTGCTTCCCATCACCAGCTCCCATCACCCCTGATCACTGGTCCTGTTAGCTAGGGATGATGGGATTTGTAGTTCAAAACAGCTGGAAACCCAATTTTGGCCATGCCTGGCCTAGACCATCTTTTATCACACGCACAAGCTGGAGATCACACAACCAGTTTATGACACAGCGCTCATTCAAGCAACTGGTTCTGTCACGCGAATAAAGGAGGAAGTGTTTACTTAAGACTACAACAGCCCAGCAAGTCATTCTCCATAGCAACAGTATTGCATAGTTAAAAGCTTGACTAAATCTGGCTTTTGCTGACATTTTCACATTACCCATCAGGCAGTATCTGCTTGCTGCCTAAGAAAACCTTGTATCTATCCACTTGCCAGGTAGCCAAACCCGGAATTGCACTCAGGAAAGCGACCTGATGGGAGGCCGGGCTGACCGCTTCTGTGTGCAATATAAAAGGGAGGGCAACTATCAAAAAGATAAACCTCCTCCAGCATAGCAATGCACCAGGCTGCTACAGGAGATCCCCACCACTGCAGGACAGTAAATCCTTTACAGGCTAGAAACTTTTGCTGTCTTTACAAGGCTGGTGGTCATTGCTGATGGACAGCTTTATTCTTCCTTTTTATTTTTACTTGCAGCTGAACACTCCCAAAAAGTGTAGCTCAGCTCTCATTGTGACTCTGGTGCAAGACAAAAGATGCAGAAGTATTCATATCCCACCAAGTAACTCAAGACGGTGTACACAGTTATCCCCATCCCCAGTTTATCCGCACAACAACCCTGAGAGGTAGGTTGGGCCGAGAGGCAGTGCCTGGTCCAAGGTCACCCATCGAGCTTCAAGGCCAAGTAAAGCATTTGAACCCTAGTCTTCTAGCCCCTAATCCAACACTCTGATCAATACACCACACTGGCTAGTGCTAGCTTAGGAGGTTTAGTTTGGTCAGAATCAAGTATATGCTTCCAGAGTTAACATTACTTCTGGTATATGGGGCACCATAGCCGTTAGATGGCTGTGAAAATTTGTGTCCCGGGCTTTTTAGACTCTTCTACCCATGTACTGGGACGCGGGTGGCGCTGTGGGTTAAACCACAGAGCCTAGGACTTGCCGATCAGAAGGTCGGCGGTTCGAATCCCCGCGACGGGGTGAACTCCCGTTGCTCGGTCCTTGCTCCTGCCCACCTAGCAGTTTGAAAGCACGTCAAGTGTAAGTAGATAAATAGGTACCGCTCTGACGGGAAGGTAAACAGCGTTTCCGTGCGCTGCTCTGGTTTGCCAGAAGCGGCTTAGTCATGCTGGCCCCATGACCTGGAAGCTGTACGCCGGCTCCCTCGGCTGATAAAGCAAGATGAGCGGCGCAACCCCAGAGTCGGCCGCGACTGGACCTAATGGTCAGGGGTCCCTTTACCTTTACCCATGTACTATCTGAAACCAAAGGGGAGGGAGGCAGATGGGGTGAAGAAGGACAATTATTTTTTGTTATTTTTTGGGGGGCGGGGAGATGCAGCAGTATATTCTGTTCAAGCTTTAAGCTGTGCTGCTACTATGGAGAAGGGAAGGGAATCTGCCTGCCTGTAAAAGTCTCCAAGTTCAATGGCCTATAATAATTTTAAGCCTACACATTTCCACTTAATAGCCTGGCTCTGCACATTTATGACCTGGATCATTAGCTAAAGCCAAGCGGTGCCTCGGTGATCAGGCAGGCTTCAGGTGTTCAAGCAACACAGCCCCCTACATCCCTTTGTCCTCCTGCCAGCCCTGAGGGAGCCCCGCCCATCAGCACCAGCGCAGCTGCCTCAATCAGCTGTTTGCGAAATTAAGACTTTATCCCAAGTGGGGCGTGGCTCCACTTTTAAGGGGTGAGCAACATCGCAGCCAGAACACAGAAGTCAGTTCTAAAACCAACCGATTGCACTCAGTGTTGGAAACTCAAGATATACAGTGGTACCTCGGGTTAAGTACTTAATTCGTTCCGGAGGTCTGTTCTTAACCTGAAACTGTTCTTAACCTGAAGCACCACTGTAGCACCACTGCTGCACCACCACTGCACGATTTCTGTTCTCATCCTGAAGCAAAGTTCTTAACCTGAGGTACTATTTCTGGATTAGCAGAGTCTGTAACCTGAAGCATATGTAACCTGAAGCGTATGTAACTTGAGGTACCACTGTATAAGCTAACCGCCAAATGGCACCTTAAACCTAGGTTACGGTCACCACAGCAGAACGCCTAGGCGCCATTTCCCCCCCAGTGAAATTTGTTGTTGCTATTGCTATTCATTTCATTTACACTCTGTATTTTAAAGACAAGACCTCAATGCGGTTTACAGCACATTAAAATATCAAATACAACAATCCAGAATAAAACCAATTCAAGGGAAAGATTTCAGATCCTTCTCTAAGTGACACTTTGCTTTCCCCATATTTATTTATTTAGCTACTTAATTTATAGAGCTGCCAGTAGCAGAAGGACTCTAGGAAGCCAGTGTGCTATAGTGATGAGAGTGTCAGACTAGAACCTGGGAGATCAGGGTTCAAATCCCCACTGGGTGACCTTGGAGTCACTCACAGCCTCCTAACCTACCTCATTGTCAGGATTAACAAAGGAGGGGAGTGAACCAGTACTCCTTAGAGAAAAAGGTGGGATATAAATGCAATAAATGAACTCTTCTGCTTACCTGCTTAAGAAAGCTGGAGAAGCCAACCAGATGGAGACGTCAGTTGCCAATCTGGCATCCAGAGATCTCCACGTGGTCGCAAGTGGAACAACGCCTGTTGCAAAACGCACCTGGCTGATTTCTAACACTGATGCCACTTCAAACAGAAGCTTCCATTTTATTCCACAGATGCCATTTATGTATGCATCCAGCACACACTTAAATGGGCCTACAGTTTAGAATGCCCTGAACCCTTTTTTTTTAAAAAGTGAATTATTCAGTAAGATACATCCAAGATTTTATATTCACAAGAGGTTTAACTGAGCCGACACACTAGATGTTAACAATATGGGACTGAGCAGATTTCTGTGCCACTCATATATTCTAATGTCAGGAATTCTCAACAATTCTCAAGGCTTGTGTGTTTTCAACATGAGGCTCAAAGCTTGTGTATTTTGGTACGTCCTTTCCCACACTTCCAGGCAAAAGATTGCTATACATATGCCCAATAAAACTTAGGCAGTTCTGAAACCCATTTCTAGGGGTTTGATAGTCCATTGCAGGGGGGGGGGGAGGGAAAATGTCACTCTGAAATTTGAAGCAGACAATCAGCTCTTTCAAGCTTGTTCATTAGTTTGCAGAAGCATTTCATGCTCTTGCTAATAACAAAGTTAACATACTAGGAATGTCTCTTCCTCCTCAGAGTGTAGAACAGGAACAAAGAATGAGCAATCAAAAGCCACCCATGTGCAGACATGGTTGAGAATATAGCAGGTAAAAAGGCAAATGCTGTATCATAATGAGGAATCAATTTTGGATATTGCATTCTACCTAAATAGGAGCTGACCAGTGCTTCTCCTTTCAGCACAGTCTGCTGCAGTTCTTCTGGCCCACCCAACGTAAGGGCCCAGTAGACATGTCACTTTAAACCACTGTTAAACTTAGCTATGTTTTAAAGGTGCACACACAGCTAGGGGTTAAAGCAGGTGGGGGAAAACATTGGTGCTACAGATGTTGCTGAACTCCAACTCCCCCCAGTCCAGCAAGGATGGTCAATGTCCAGGGATGATGCAAACTGTAGTTCTGCAACATCTGGAGGGCCAAGGGTTCCTCTCAATATACCTGGCTGAAAGGGGCACTTAAGTGAGGTTGCTTTCTAAAGCAGGGTGGTCCAATATGCAGCCCAGGGGCCACATGTGGCCCTCGATGCCTTTTTGGGCAGCCCTCAGAAACATTTGGCGCTGGGCTTTGGGAAGAAGGCAGGAGGACTCTTGACAGGGTCCTAGAGTCCTCCCACCTCCTTCCCAAAGTCTAGTTAGCACTTTCCCAGCTTTGGGGAGAAAGTGGAAGGACTCTAGGACCCTGCCTTCCAAATGCCTGGTGGTTGGGGCATCCAATTTTGGCCTTACTCCTCCCCTAACAGCAGGAGGCCCACAGGTTTCATGTTGAAGGACTCTTGCAGCCTACTTGGCATTGAGATTTTGGGCCATCCTGGTCTAGAGGTATGACCAATTACTGAAGTATCAAGACACCAAAGGCCAGAAAGCTTTGTGATCTGCGGAACCAGGGCTACATAGCTGGGAGGGAAGCTAAATACAATCTTTGTTCAGCATTCACTTCAACAGAGTGCCATCAGTAAGTTAGAGAGGACAGTGCAGCCTACAGAATGTCACGCAAACTATGAAAACATTAAAGATGCCTGAAGGACAACGGAGCATTTCAGCAAAGCTAAAGCATAAAACGTTAAAAAGGAATAATACTACCAAGTGGATAAAATGTATCGCTAGACCAGGCCAGTCACTGTTGCTGTTGGTTTCCTTCATTCCTCAAAAACCCAAACCTGCCATCTTCCTGCATTAAATAATTAACCCACTGCCATTTTTAGAAACCACATAAAGTCAAGCTGACTTTGCAACTATTTCCCCCCCTCTTCATCTACACAAAAACCTTTCCCTCAAATTACCCAGCAACAGATGACCTAAAAGGCCTCCCTATATAAACCTGCCCAGGTGCTGAGATCCTCAGGTGAGCACCTTCTCTCGGTCCCATCAACATCAGAGGCATGGTTAGGGGTGACACAGGAAAGAGCCTTTTCTGTGGCTGCTCTTGGTATTGTGGAATTCCCTACCAAGAGAAGTGAGACTGGCTCCCTCTTTGCTATCCTTCTGCTGGCAGACTAAAACTCTCCTGCTCAAACAGGCCTTTGGAAACTGAGAAGCAGACAGGGCTGATCACTAGGGGCTGCTGTCAGAGGAAATTGCTTGTCTCTGATGTATTCTAATTATTGCTTCTAGCTAGTTTGTTATTATTTTGCATTTTATCATGTTTTTAAATGTTGCAAGCTGTCCTGAATCCCAACTTGGAATAATAATAATAAATAATAATAATAATAATAATGGCATCTTTGGGCAGGGTAGAAGACAAAGAAAGAGGCCTGCTTCTTGTTCACAATCACTGCTTCATCCATACAATCTACTTACTGGTTACTCTTAAGAGGGAAGTGATCCTATAATGTGCTCCTACTACCCAGGGCCTCAACTGACTTCTCAGCACAGAAAGAAAGTTCTGAAGGTTTTCCATCTCAGAGAACTTTCATCTTCATGGACGATCCCATTCTGGCAAGAATGAACCACTGGCTGGCGGCCAAGGCTGGCCACTCCCCGTGGCGTTTTGCTTCCTGACCTAACGGACTGGTAGCCGCAAAGGGCAGCTTTCTGATCTATCTTTGTAGAGCTGCAGCGCTCTCGGCGTATGGGTGCATTAAAGGTCACTTGTAACATCACACTTTGCCCTAATGCTATTATTACATTTTGGACACTTGGCCACAGAGAAACATTCGAAAAAGGTTTCCTCGTACTTCTCATCCCAAAGGATGAGTATCGCTTGTTAGCACTTTCTCCCAAACGCTGGAAATAGGGCAGCACCTTTAGGGGATATGACTAGCCACTAATATTGGTTAAGATTTACAGCAACATTTCAGGTGCTGTTTTACTGGACTTGTTCTAGGGATTTGTCCTAGGGTATATAGGGCGATATAAAAATTCAAGAAATAATAATAATTTTTGTATGGCTTTTACTGCACTGCAATGGTTCTCTTCTCCTCCCTGATTTTAAAATAGGCTTTTAAGGTTTAAAATCTTTATAAATCTTTATACACTTGGTGAAGCAAGCAACTAATACACTGAAATAACAGCTTTGAACGTAGGAGGCGGAATCAAGATGTGGTACTAGTATTGAGGTCAATGAAGCCTGTTAAGATTTTACCTCATTGTGGTATAAAGCAATGCTTTTCAAACTATCCAATGTGGTGGACCAGCAACACCCACCCATGCCCCAGGGACTGGTACCATATTTGGTACCCAAAATATGTCACCCAATCTGGGTTGTGGTGGAGCTGCCCTGGACCAACAGCTCAATGCTTTGCAGACCAGCACCAGTCTGTGGACCACCACTTTGTGGAACACTGGTTTAAAGGACACTGGCATTCAATGCATACAAAAAAACAACAACTCTGCAAAGCTAGCAGTGACTGCATTTCCTTATTTCAGAGGAAGATACTAAAAAAATAAAGGCCCCTGGTCTTTAATTTACCCTGCACTTTTGAATGAAATCTGAATAAATTCCATAAATTATCCAGCTAGAGCACATCAAAGCTAGATGTCACACCTAGGCATGGTGCAGTTCTTATTAACTAGGAGCTGGGAAGACTTCCAGCTCTAGAGGGACTGCAAGGAGTCAGGGTGGGGCGAGGCTTTATCTCCATTACAACTAATGGATATTGATCTAGGCATCCTGCAATAGGCAGCTGTATGGCAGGCCATGGGAGTCGATCCTGAAGCAGAACTGCTGGTGCATCCACATCAAACATGCTTTTAACATATCACGCCTCTAAATTTTAGATTCTAAAACTTGGGGGATTTTTCTTGTGGTTGGGGGGGGGCATCCTTCTCAGTTTAAAGGCTCTTGCACAAACCACCCTTTCATTCCAGTTGTAAAACAGCTATCACCTTTTATACTCAAAGCAAATCAGAATCCTATGCACGGGGAATCTTGCAAGCAATGGCAGGCCCCCAACCTTTAACGACGAAGATTTATTCCCCACCCCCTCTACCTAAGGCCCCAGGGTGGGTTGCAACAATTACAACACAGAATCTCACAAACAGTGTAAAGCAACTTGCAATCACAGAAATAAGGTGGGTCCCAAATAAAGCCATCTCAAGCATCAAAGGCAAGGCTGAAGAGGTACTTTTAACCAGCACTTGCCAGGTGTGCTAAGGGACGAACTAAACTGTATTAACCTCTTAAACACATGTCCTGATATCTTTTAGACTAGCAAGTGTGCCAATTGCTACCTTAAAGAAATTCTGCCAATGCCACTGTCTGGGCAGGAGAATATATGCCGTGGTCCTTCCATTTCAGCAGAGGACAATTCATGGCAGCGAGTTGCCTTCATACTAACCCAACTGCCTTAATATTTGACCAGCCAACAGATACAGCAAAGTCTTGAAGAGGGGGTCATGCTTCTGAGCTCTTCCATCTGGACAGTACATACACACTGCCCAGCAAATTAATGCTTCAGCAAATTCATGGGAGATAAAGCTATCGAGAGCTACCAATCCTGATCACTGTATGCTACCTTCAGGGAACAGAGGCAGCATGCATCTGAATGCCCACTGCTGGGCATTCAGGAGTGAAAAAAGTGCTGTTGTGCTCAGCTCCTGCTTGTGGGCTTCCTGTAGGCATTTGGTTGACCACTGTAGAAAGCACAGCATTGGATTAGAGGGGCTTTGGTCTGGTCCAACATGGCTCTTCTTACATTCAGGTGAAAGAGGACACATACCAGCACCACCATTTTGTGCACTGTCTTCAATAAGCCATAGTTGTCCATGCTGACAAGTTGTCTTAGAAAGTAACCACAAACTACAATCAGGATACAGTCTAAAGCAGGCATAGGCAAACTCCGGCCCTCCAGGTGTTTGGGACTACAATTCCCATCATCCCTGACCACTTGTCCTCTTAGTTAGGGATGGTGGGAATTGTAGTCCCAAATATCTGGAGGGCCGGAGTTTGCCTATGCCTGGTCTAAAGGCTCAGACTAACTATTAGGCTGTGGGTGCATTTAACTGTAGCAGTGGAGAAGAAATTTTGGGGAGATGTTAGAAGAGACCTAATAATGAATGCTTACTGCAAAAAAGTGAATGGTTAACTACGGTATAGATGGCAATAAAGGCAATTAAGTGCATTAGTTGTGAAAGCAGAAACGAATGAGGACCTAAAATCCACTGTCCGTTCCAACAGGAGAGGTGTCAATCCAAATTCAATCACTACATTTCTGCATTACCTTGGACAAATGCCATTTGTACACTCTCTGCTACCACCTGGGTGCACTGCAGCTTCTACTCTTACGCGTGACATCATTGAGTTGCTACGGAAATGAGTGCGAGGTCATAAGTCTCCCACACAGCTGGAAGTAGGGTAGAGGGAAATAGTGTTGCACAGTGGCAAAAGGAGATGGAGAAAAATATCAAGCGTTGACTCAGCCCCGGTCCATTAAGATGGGCTTTAAATTTTCTTTTCCGAGTACAGCAGGCCAGATCTTTGTGTTGGCCCTAGGAGGAAGCAGTGAGCAAAGATTTCAAAAAAAAAACACCCAACCCAGATACTAACACAGCTGGACTCGAAGTGCTGTAACATCCCAGGCTACTGTTTTAGAAGAGATTAGCGTTTCTACTTCTTTACACAGATTTATTTGCTCAGGTACATTTAAGGCAATTACAGCAATAAAGCAACAGAAATAGAGAGTTGCTGAAAGTATCAGTCTTCAGGTAGTCATAAAATGAAATGCACATCTTAAAAAAAAACAGAGTTTTAACACTTGCATTCAGTGAGATTACTCTGTAAGCACTGAGTGACATCAAATCGTCCTGCAGAGAGGGATGCTCAAATATTAACACAGTACTACCGTGCCACTAGGCTGATTCCCCACCCTAATTATGCTGCTAGCTGCATCTTCTTCTGCTCCTAGCTAAGCTTCAGCAGTTTCACATGCTTGACAAACGAACGGTTACGACAAAATGGTGCAATCAGGGAGAGACAGCAGCATCCCAGGCAAGACTGCGACAATTCTGGATCAGTATTTACTATTCATCAGAGACAGAGGCCACGCTGGCTTCTCTTAAAGGCTCAGACCTGACTAACAAGACAAATATAAAGAACCGTTCTCCTCTTTAAAGCAACCCCTCCCTCCCTCTCTCCACCCAGTCTAGCCTCTCTGCAATATGACAAATGCAGAATCTTCTGGAATGACTTGATACTGCCTCCTACGATCGCTTTGTTTGCAAGATCACATCAAAGATTTCTCTCTTTTTTCCCCTTTTACTTATTGAACACTCAAAGAGGCCACCTGTATTTTTTTTAAAAAAAATACCCTACTTGCACAATTTAAGAACTGTTCCATTTACAGCTGTCGTTTTAAAACATACAAATTAACAGCACGTCATCCTATCTTAACCCCCTTTTTAAAAAGCTAACCTAGATAAATACTAAGATTGCGAGAGATTGAAGTCACCGGTCTTTCCAAATTGCACGCCTTTCTCTCACCTGAGAGAATAATGTATAATAGTGGACGGGGTGAGGGGAGAGAGAAATAACCCTAGGGAAAGATTTGCCTACTGGTTAACCTACATATCTGATTCGAGCTTTCTCCCTGTAATACCATACCACCCTGCAAAAGTGTGTTAGATGGGGTGGAAGCCTTGCAGATCATTTACATCCCCCCAAAATGTAATCTTAAGGCCAGCCCTTTACAATGAAGACAGTTCCTTGCCCTGTCATGAGGCAGATTAAGAGAGGGTACGGTAGGTGATTGTGGGTGGGGTTGGTGGGGGTGTAGGGAGGGCACAGCAGATGAATTCATGGGAAAGGCACCGCCCAAGCACCAGGGAGGGAGAGATAAAGAGGGGGCAAAGGACACAGCACAGGTTACACTCTGCCCTTCACTTTTTTCTCCAACAGGGTGAAACAAGAGGGGACCCATATATAAATTGCACTGTCATCGCCACCACCCCACTTCTCTCCCTCAAAGCAGAAGAAAAACCATTTTTAACTAGGCCCAATGATAAGGCAAAAAAGAGGACATCCTCTTTACTTCATCCAAAGAGGATGGCGCCTAATCTTACAAAGCAAACTCCCCATCAGACCTGAAATAGAAGCACATGCCTTTTGGTGTGTAAGGTGCCTCTGAAACACTGAAGGTACTCCGGGGGGAGAGGGGATTTGAGAGCACCTTAAGCCCAGAGCAGCATTTTGGGGAAAAGCCACCCAAGGGGGCCAAAATGGTACCTGGACATTTCAATTGGGGGGAGGGCACTGTGCCCTAAGGGATAAATGAGAAATTTGGGGAAGCAGGGACCAAGCAAAGTGTAAGACAGACTGACATGGAAAAGGACAGGAATGAGCATCCCTGTAAAAAGGGGGGAATTGCAACTTTAGGGAGGGGCATCTCCTGTGGGGGGGGGGGGGGAGCATCATGTTCCCTTCCCATTACACTTACTCGGGGAGGGGCATCTGTTCCAGGAATGCTGCTTTTATTGTTTAAGGCACCTTTTGAAGCTGTATTTCCCTACCAAAATATGAACGCAGGCAGCAGGTAATAGCATCAAGGCAGGCTGCATGTATGGATATCTATGGGTGCGAATGTGTGAGGTCCAGTGGTGATGGTTGAAGATGACACTGGCCTCAAGGAGGGGAATTATCCTTTGAGCACACTGGGGAAGAGAGAGCAAATCTCTTTTTGCTCTAGGCATGGTGGAGCAGGAGAAGAGTTCAGGGCTTGGCTTTGCAAGGCCATTTCTACCTCCCAGGGGAAATGCTTGCAAGGTGGGGTGGAGAATGGGAGTGACAAGAGAAGAAGAAACCTCCTTACTCACTCCCCAAAGCATTTTCTGTATGGGGCAAGGAAAGGAATGGAAAAGGACCCGTGTGTGTATGTGTGTACACACAGAGTAATGCTTCCACAGAGCCAGTTGCAGCACCTGCCCCCCCCTTTTCAAAATGAAGAGAATTCATCAATGGCATTTCCTCTAGCCATTATTTCATTTGGGATGGAGCAGACTGAAAATCTAAATTACATTCTAAAATGGGGGGGGGGGGAGATTTTCTGTGGAAACATTCTCCCCCTCCCTTTAATTTCTTCCCTTTGTATGAATTATTTCTCCCACCCTCAAGACAGAGAAAAAGAGACCCCTGCTTATCACCACCACCAGAAATCAAAGCATTTATGCTTTTGAAGCATGCGGATTAAATAAGTGCATCGGTCCCCTACTCAAAAATAAACACATTTTCTGTGCAAGAAATAATACATAGCATACACTCTCCTCAGAGAACATGTCAATTTCTCCCCCCCAGCTTTCTTTTTTTTACCAATATGTTGATCTCCCCCTCCCAATAAATTAATATGAGTCCATTTCTCCCAATAATGAAAAACCCTGTCAATTGCCACCACCGCTTTCCCCATCCAATAAATGAATATATGGTGTGAGGAGGACAAAATTATCTCACCCTACCAGAAATACCCCCTCCCTGTGTCAAAAGAAAGAAAAGGCACATTATCCTCCTTCGGTCAGTGAACAAATCTGGGGAACGGTTGCAAATTCTCTCACTCTCCCCTGCATCTCCAATAATATGCACCAGAAGCAATATATTCTACACGTTGATTAACATAATTTATTTTAATTTACAATAATCAATACTGTATGTTAACATTTTGATTTAATATATTTATGCCCATTAAGGAGGGGTGAATTATCTGACCCACTAAATGAAGAATACTAACCGGTAGACACATCCTACTCCACTCAAAAAAAATTAAAAGGAAAATTGGGGTGGAGAGCTGGAAATCCCCCCTTTTAAGAATATCTCCCAGAAATATCCCCCCAGAGGGGAAAAAAAATCTCAATTGCCCCCTCCTCTCAATAAAAAAGGGTGGCACCCCCCCCCGCAACAAAGGAGGCAGACGGGAGGGAGGGGAAAGGAGGAGGGAAGGCCCTTCTGCGGTGGCGGCCGCGGCGGCGGCAGCAGCGGAGGAAACCGGGAGGAGGAGGGAGGAGGAGAGACTCACGTTCTTCATGGCAGCCGCCATGTCGTCGTATCTCTCGGCTTGCTCAGCCAGCCGGGCTTTCTGCACCAGCTGCTCGCGGTCCACCATCTTTCTTCTTCTTTTTAATTCTTGGCTCGGACTTTTATCAAAATAACAGTAGTAGTAATAATAATGGCAGCAAAGCTATCTCTCTTTTATCCCGACCGCGCGCTGAAGGTGAGAGAGAAACGCAAAAACAAAACAGGAGGAGGAACGGGAGAGAGAGAGAGGAAAGAAGGAAGGGTGGCAATGGAACGAGAGGCAGGCGCGCGCGCCAATCAGGGCCGGCCGAACGCTGGGCGCGCGCGAAGCAGGCAAGCAGGCGGTTAAGCTGCTTGCTGCTGCTGCTCCTCCCGCCGCTGTTCCCTGAGTGCGAGACGGACTTTCGCTTCTTTCCCCCCTCACGCTCGCGCCGCTACTGCTCTCGCTCTCTCGCACGGCAACAACAGCGGGCTGTAGTAGCTGCGGCGGCTGCACCCGGGCGGCGTGCGCATGCGCCCCTATTTCTCCTCTCCCGTCTCCCCTCCTCTGAGGGATCCTCCCGCAGCACGTAGACCCCGCCTCCCCCTCTCCCCACCAGAGCTCCTATTGGAGCCGCGCGCTCCTCCCGCCCGCCCTTTTTTCCTTTGCCTTCTAAAGGAAAAGAAAGAGGCGCCAAACCGCCGCGCGGTTCTCTTTCCCTCCTCGCTCACACCCCCACCGCCTCACAAAGACCATCCCACCGCCTACGCGAAGGGCATCATGGGAGTTGTAGTTTGCTCTCTGTCCGGGGGTGTTAAAGCACGCTTTGAGTCTGAGGGAAAGCCCTCTGAGAGGGAGCCTCCATTTCCCATAAAGCAACGCGTGCCTCGCTCTTAGTACGAAAAATTGTATTTATGCGTATATAAATATCTATACTGTATTGTCTTTATACGTACATATACATATACCTGCACATTCATACAGTTTTGTGTTCATATATGTACAGACGCACAATGTGTGTGTGTGTAACGTATAACTTACATCAGTGCAGTTCATGTATTCATCATGTCGATGCAAATATTAAACATGTCGTTAGTATCCGAATTAAATCAAATCATATTAAATTGATTATAGTACAAAATACTGGTCCTGTCACAGTAACCTAATTATTTTAAATTCATTATAACCTTCCCTCTGCTTCTTCCAATGAAGCTCAGTTTTGTCCTCACAATAGCCCACTGTGGCAAGTTAGGCTGATACAGAATGTCCACCCAAAGCCACTCATTGGGTATCATTCAAACACTAATCTCTCCTGCCTTAAGTCACATCCATCCTGCATACTCAAAACACATGGAAATCGTTATTTCAATTATATTTATTAAGTTTTCAAATATACAAGAACAAAAAGAACAACATATCCCCCCCCCAAAAAAAAACTCCACCCTCTGCAAGTATCTTCCCAACACGGGATCATTGATAAATCATAATACAGACATTTCAGCGGAAAGAAGAAAAGAGAAGTAATAGGACAAAGTCCATTTCTGAAGAAGACAAAGCCTCATCCAATCCAAACCCTGTTTTCCATATCTGGCATGTATTTTTGTACATCCGATGTATGGAAATCATCTTTAAAAGCACCTTTAGAGAGAATCCCAGAAGTATAGTATGCCCCTCACAAAGCTGCAATTCCCAGCACCCATTACAATCTACAGTTCCCAGGATTCTTATGGGGAAGCCATGCAATTTAAATGCATGGTGTGGATGTGATCCTAGTCTTACCCAACCTGTAAGCAGGACCAAATTGCAACAGCACTCTCCACACTTGTGATTCCCAGCAACATGCATTCAGAGACAAATAATATAGCCAATGTCCTATCTCCCAAAATACCCAGATACGGTATATAAGTACAGTACAAGCAAAAACCCATCGGCCGGCAGAACAAGACTCAAGTGAAAGAGAAAGAGAAGTGGATCTTCTAGAGTTACAGATCAATATACAAGAACATAAAATAATGATTTAGATGGTGGAATTAGATGTATATGGAACCAACAACAAAATGTTGCAGTGTTGAGTCCTCCTGTGCAAGCCTGACACCATTGTGCCCCTCTTATATATGATTATTAAAATAGTTGCTGTCCTACATGACATTTTTCAACAAGGAGACAAGAAATGTGAAGTCGCATGCACAAGCATGAGGTGGACAAAATGCAGAACCTCTTCGAGAATAAGAACTCTCCTCACATGCCTCCAAGCCTTTCCAGAAATTAAGTTCTCCCCCACCCTTGCAAAAAGCCCTATAGTCAAGCGATGACAAACCTTGTGCTTCAGCACTGGAGGGAGCACCCTGTAAGCAGCCTTCAAAGAACTGAATTGGATGAAGCTCAAAATATTCAGGAACTGGAAAGATTATTTCTGAACAAGAGAGATCACACTCCTGCTAAGTGCCTGCGCCACTTTTAAGAAAGGCATGCATGGACTGCACTGCCATCAAAATCAACACTGGAAATAATCTAATATCTAGGAAATTGGGCCACAGCTCTCTGGTGAAAAGGAATATGCTGAGAACTGCCATGAAGGGCCTTCTTGGTAGTAGCGCCCTTCCTGCCCACCTAGAAATTCAAATCCTGGAGGTCTGGCACCCTAATTAAGGTGCAGGATCCAGCCATAAGTCCATGCAACAGACATGTAGAGTCTTCCAGGGCTGCAGTAAGAACATCTACATGCAAAGGCTTTGCAGGAAAGGCGAATTCATTGTTTCATAATACCATAATACATCATTGTGGTCCTATAAGGGTCCATTATTTGGTGAAGTGTATGCCCCCCCATGCCACTACAGTTGCTCATAAGCCATGGTTTTTGTAAGATCTCTGGAGATTCAAACCTTTTATACCTGTATTTTGAGACACAGGATATACTTTTTACGAGCAGTTTTAATGATAATGCTTCTTTACACAGTTGTCCATTTTCAATGCCACCCAAGTTAACGTTCCTCACCTGAATAATCACCTGGTGGCCAGGGGGAGCTGGAAGCAGGCTAGAAGCTGGAGACACAGAGAAATGCTTGCTTCGTGCTGGACTTAGGGGCTCCTCTGGAAACCTAAATGGGAAGCAAGATCTATGGAGGTGTTAACTCTGTGAGCCCCTCCATATATTCTAAAGATACCACAGTCTCCACTAACCTTCATTTCAAGGGAAGCACATCCTGGAGTTCCTCACTGCTCAGAGCAGGGTTTCCCAAACTTGGGTCACCAACAGTTTTTGGACTACAGTTCCCATCACCCCTGTGATAGATAGATGATGATGGGATGATGGGAGGTGTAGTCCAACAACAGCTGGAGACCCAAGTTTGGGAAACCCTGGCTCATTGATTGGGGTGGCGTGTAACAATACTGTTGGCCCAATTTTACAGTTCTCCCTTCCAATCGTGGTCTGATAACCCCCTTCTTGTTGGACATCTGGCACCTCCTGATTTTTTCCCCTAATTCCAGCAAACATTGATGTTCAATTTCATAAGTTTGGGCTGCTGTTTGTATCCTATCTTTGTAAGCCACTGAGAGGTGACGTCAATTAAGCGATATATAAACTCTTTAAATAAATAAATTGTCAACGCCATGTCAGAAAGGCACTCTGAATTGTCCTCCTGCACCATCACGGCACACGGCGGGAATGCAGTGTCGAACAGGCTGGACATCTGTCTCCACCTGGGTCTCCTGTGCAGATGACTGAACAGTGACAAAGCGGTGTCCCAATTAGATGATCGAGGAGGAGGAGGTGCAGAGGCAGCCAGCAATCGGCCAGCTGCTGGGGTGACAGGATCGCAGGTGGAGACCAGACAGACCGGGTGGGAGATTGTCAGCCCACCTACCTTCAAGACACGCCCCTACCGCCATCATCCTAGAAACTCAGCCCTGCCAAACCCCAGGGGACGATCGCTGAACTGAGAGTGAAACAGCGCACTTAAGGGAAGCCAAAATAAAAGCCTGCAGAGGGTTTAGAGCAGTATGGCATTCACAAGACACACAAAGGGGCAGAAAGCTCCCAGCGGGATGATGCACCCCTCCACATTTAGCAACGCATTTTCAGTGCATAGAATGTGCACGCAAAAACAAATGTTTTCCCTAAAAGATGCATGCAGAATGTGTATTTTACTGGTGGATTTCATTGGGTACAATGGATGGAACAGCATGTGATGGAAGGGAGAAGGACAGAGCAGACCTATATGACCATGACTGGACACCCAGTGAACTTCAACTCTAAGTGGGGCTTTGAATCCTGGACCAGGTGTGAGGAACCTCCAGCCCACAGGGAAATTCTGGCCTGCCAGCGGGTCTAATTTGGCCCATGAGGCCATTTCCAACCACACCTACTGTCAACCGACTGAAGTCACTATGTAAAATTGCAGGTTGGTGAGGAGGTTTGATCCTACCGGGTGCTGCATCGGCAGTGCGTTCCCCTCAGGGAATGCACTGCTGAGGCAGACCCCTTCTCTCCTCCCCCCCCCCCAGCTAACTTTGACAGGTGGGCGGGACAGTGGGTGGTGTTACAGTGATGTCCAATGACTGCTAGGTGTGTGGCCTCATCGACCTGTCAAATTTGGCCTGTGGGGTGAGCATGGGGAGAACCGGCCCCTCAGGTCCAAGCCATTTCCCTACACTAGTGTGATCCACTAACCAAGATATACATAAACATGTCATCATACAGCCACCATTGGAGCTTTGTTGTGTTGCATCATGTAATCCTGGATTTGCATGACACCAGGAGTAGGAAGGGTAGGTGAGCAGAGATGGCAGCCCCATTATCTATCTATCTATCTATCTATCTATCTATCTATCATCTCCCACCTTTTTCTCCAAGGAACTCAAGGTGGCCCCCTCCTCATTTAATCCCCAGAACAACCTTGCAAGGTAGTCTGCCCTGAGTGACCCAGTCACCCTATGAGCTTCATGACTGAGGGGGGATTTGAACCCTGGTCTCTACCAGGTCCTAGTCTGACACTCTAACCACTATGCCACACTAGCTCAATATATGGCTATGTGAGCAAACCAGCAGAAGCAGAGGGAAGGGAGAAGGAGGGGAAGAAGAAATGGTGGTGGTGGTGGTGAGCTACTGGGAGGTCCTGAGCTTTCCAGCAGATCCAACATCTTAGAAGCAAAGCAAAAAAAGGAGGGGTAAAATGTGAGGGGGGTGCAGGAGATCTGCATCCCTGCATAAAAGACCTTTGAAGGGGGCCCTGGGTCACCCTGGAAGTCGAAAACAGGTCTCTCACCTGCAAGAGATTGCAGGCTCTGCAAGACTGGGGACCTACCACCGTCCTTTTCTGTGTTGTGCATGTAAAACGTCCATCTTCTGGGGCTGCTGACTGGGGCCTTGCTGCATGCTGGCAGCAGTAGCAAGCAGCAACAAGCAGCAGCAGCAGCAGCAGCAGAGCAATCCTGGTGTATGTGCTTTGGAAAGCCTTGTTTGCAACCCCCGAGACTGCAGTGGAATCACCAGTCTGCTTTGCAAGTCATACTAATTGAGGACTGCAATGCAAGCCAGCTGTCTCTCCCTCTCTCTCTCTGCATTTGCTGCAGTGCAAGAGCTGGAGAGATGGCTGAGGACGGGGGGTGTGGAGGTGCATTGTGTAGTGGCCCCAAAAGCACTCGTAGAGATCGGCAGCCAATCAGGAGCGGCTGAGGGAAGTCTGCATGGCTTGCAGAGTAAATCAAAGGCAAGCAGCTCTTCCCAGCCTAAGGAACCATTGACAG